GAAAAGCTAAGGTTAGCGAAAAACGAATTCGATCACATGATGGACTTAGGAATCATACGACCGTCAAATAGCCCATATGCATCTCCGTTGCACATGGTCCCTAAAAAGGACAGCAACGATTGGCGTCCAACTGGTGACTATCGGCGATTGAACGCGAAAACCATTCCCGATCGTTACCCGTTGCCTCACATTCACGATTTGACAGCTACCTTGAAAGGTACAACTGTCTTTTCGAAAATCGACTTGGTTAAAGCGTATAACCAAATCCCTATGGCTACTGACGACATACCGAAAACAGCTATCATAATTCCTTTCGGACTCTATGAATTTTTGCGAATGCCTTTCGGTCTAACAAACGCTGCTCAAACATTCCAAAGATTCATAGTTGACGTTCTTCGAGGTCTCAACTTCCTACATGGGTATGTTGAAGACTGCCTTATTGCAAGTCCGGACAGAGAATCACGTCTCAAGCATCTAGATCTTGTTTTCGACCGAGTGCAAAAACGCGGCATTACTGTAAACGTTCAGAAATGCTGTATCGGAGCTGACCCATTGGACTTCCTAGGACACACTATAGATGCTTAAGGCATTCGACCCCTTAGAACCAAAGTGACGGCCATTCTGGATTACCCAGAACCGACCACCGTCAAGCAATTACGCACGTTTAACGGCCTCGTAAGTTTCTATAGACGTTTCATACCCAAATGCGCATTACTTATGAAACCTCTGACCGACCAACTTCGTGGAAATGCAAAATGAATTAATTTGGACGACACCGCACGAAAAGCATTCTCCACAGTTAAGGAACTGATCGCTAAAGCAACAATGCTCGCAAATCAGGACACCGAAGCACCCATTAGCATCGCAGTAGACGCATCCGACTCGGCAATCGGAGGAGTCTTACAACAATGGGCTAACAACTAATGGCAACCCTTGGCATTTTTCTCTAGAAGGTTGCTAGACACCGAATCGAGGTACAGCACATTCGGTAGGGAACTCCTAGCTATGTATTGTACTGTACGGCATTTCCAACACTACATCGAAGGCCGTGAATTCACTCTTTTCACGGACCATAAACCGATCACTTTCTCGTTAAGCTCTCCTTCAGACAAGTACTCTCCCCGTGAGTCTCGACAACTAGACTAGATTTCTCAGTTTACTTCAGATATTCAACATATTTCTGGAGCAAACAATGTAGTTGCAGACGCCTTATCTCGCATAACTTCCTTGAACAGTTTCCAAAGAATCGACGTTCTCAAACTCGCCCAGCTTAAACTAGAACACATTGATCTTCAGCACGAGTTATCGTCTACAACTCTCAAGCTATGCATGATACAGATGGGAACGGGTAAGGAAACCTTACTTTGTGACACATCTACAGGTAGGGATCGCCCAATCGTGCTGAAACATTATCGACGCAACGTCTACAATACGTTGCCCAAACTTTCTCATCCAGGTGTTCGTGTAACCACCAAGCTTATAGCAGAACGGTTTTGCTGGAACGGAACCAACGATAGCATCAGCATCGATCGCCTCAAAGCAGCGTATTTAGAAGGAAATCCAATCTACGTCGATTTTCCTTCGGTACAATCGAACGACATGACTCCGACACTCATAATACCTAATCCGACAACGAATACGCACGATGACACTTCAAACACTGAATACCTGTGCCATCTTCAATATTACTGCCTAATGCTCACGCAAGCGAAGAGGAACTCATAAGAATTGTAAAAGTGTAGACTAAAACTCAGACTCAATAAGTTTTAAGACAACAAGCTATACAATTGTATACTTTTCCAAACGTCAGACTAGTTTGCAAGGCCAGTGAGGAGAATTATTAGACATTTGAAACCGATCTCGACTACGGTAGGATGAGAATTCACATCAATGAACCTTGGAAGTGTGAGTCATCTACTAGTGCCTTATAACAGAAATAAGGTAGAAATAACCAAGAAGTGCAGTAAGGTAACACTTTCAAGGAAAACTTCAGTATCCAGGGGGTGGAAAGTCTGATGCGATAGAAAGTCTTACAACCTAATAATAAACCAATTAAAGTCTTCCACCAATTTTTCTGACAGCTTTTTCATGTTCTATACTAGAAACTACTCTTCCCATGTTACAATCTGATTACCGTTAACAAAAACCGACTGACCGATGAATTTAAAGTCTTTGGCTTCTTCAACCTTACTGTTTAGGGAGAAATGGGCTCATCTAGCTTTAAAGTATGCCAACCAACAGATAACTTGAACTTCGTTAGTGCTCTTGCTAGACTAACTTCGCTGTACTCCGTAAGTGACTTGGGAACTGCCATATCAAAACGAGAAGTGAATGAAAAAAATAAAATAGTTTGTAATAGTCCAACCCATAGACACCAAATAGTATCGTTCTAAAGACATTGGATGTAGTATAATCGTTGATGAGTTTTGTACAGTTGCGCTACAAATCAAGTTGTCTCTAAGGTCGGTGGGATAACTGCACAAATCCAAATAAGTGTGTTTCCGTACCATATCGTGCTCCTCAACTATAGAATTATTTTTATTGATTCATAGATAAGAGTGGATTTTCATGTCGAATTCTCATAACTTTGCTCGAATTTGAACTGCTTGCTGGTAATATAACCAAAGGTACTTAACATAATATCCATTCCTAACCATATCATAAGAGGGGATCAATCATGTATTGGGTACTGTTTTTGTACCCATTTCCTTAACGTTGCTATGTCAACCCTCTTTCAAACTTTATTTCATTGTTGCCGTCATCAAGCCTCTGTATATATTTGAAGAGTATCACTTATGGTTCATCTACTTTTGTCCTTGAATACGTTTCTGAACTCAGTATTATATTGTGAAGCCCGAAGTTCATTTCCCTTAATCCCATGCACTCATAATTCCAGATTAATAGAGCTAAGTACCTTTCATCATACTCTGAAGCATTTCAATAATTGGATGCGCTATGAGTCATTGGGGTTCATGTGCAAATCACATTAGTCCGATGAAGGTTTATTTAGGGGTAATGGTTGTTGCCTAAGAAGATCCTTTTATTGTTGTGAATGAGCATCCTCATGTTTTTTATTCTTTTTTGTCAACTGCTGGCCCTAGTTAAGTAGACTGCGGCTATCACTGTAAAACTTATGACGCAGTTAATCGACAGTTAATTCCGTTATCTATAACCTTAACAAAGGTAGTGGCGTACTATAAGTTATTAAAACAATTGTTTTAATAACTCATAGTACGCCACTACCAGTTTATAAGCTTAAGCTTGTAAACTTCAACATTTCATTTAGACTGATAAAACTATAGGAGTTTATCAGAATTAAGCAAATAGGACGTTGGTTGTGTATACCCAGGCTATGTACGCAATAATGATGAGTAGGTGTGAATAACGACAAGCAGGAGCAATCGATTGGTCTTAAAGGTTAGATGCTTATGATGTCTAAGGGTTGTTATCAAAGTTATTCGAAAAACAGATAGTTGACCTCTATAAGTTGTTCACTAATGATTATGCGATATCACTGGTTTCTAAAGCATTCTCTGTTGATTATCATGCAGTTTTCATTCAAGTTTATTGTCATACTTTATTTTCAGTGCTAACCCGTTATGTGGTGGCAGTTTTACATTAATAAAAATGCTGACGTTTTAGATAAAATACGGGTCGTATGTAGTTTTTTTTCAAAGTGGTCCTGATTTCTAATCACACAAATGTACAATGAAAGTCTAAGGTTTTGTTACTGAACGCAGATTTCAGTCACTGGGTTGCTTCTTCGAATTCTAATTTACATATTTCACTACAAAAAAATTGTCTAATATCGTTATCTCCCACACAGGAATGTTGTGGCTCAAAACCAATAACATAGAGCTGTACCCCTATAATAAATAGTATAAATTTCTCTGGTGAAATTTCCGTTCACATCTGCAGTGTTTTAAATATCCACTTCCCTTAATGTACCCAGTGTACAACATAGAAAACCATTAAATATGTTAAACAATAATTCGTAAATTCTGCTATCTGTATTAGCCACTAGTAAAGTGATACTAAGTGGATAGTAAGCTATTGTGTAATCAAAATTGTTCCATTAAGACCACTGACAGATGTATGTGCAACTTAGTCGCGTATTCTGATTGAAATAAAACTGTACCTCAGAGAACCACAAGAAGACTACACCACTACGTTCATAAATCCTCAGCTAGTTTTCTGAAATACACAAAAAATAGTGTTCACTAAATTAGGGTCACTGTTCCAATATATATGTTTATAAAGGCAATGGATGACAACTTAAAACCACCAGTGCCGTTTTATATATCTTATGGCCTATTTTCCTTTTTATGCACTTTCTTGCTAAGAAAATGAACGACTTAAATCAGTTAACACTGATGACTGTAGTCATCTTTTTATGTACTGTTCTAATCGAAAGCACTTCATAGTCTTTAGTGTTTTGTTTTGACTTGTGCTCTTTTATCACTCGCAATAATTTAGGCAAGCTAGTAATCTCAAACGTTTCCACCCACACAAACTACATCGTAACTTGAAGTAAAGCGGTTTATTTTTTAAAAAATTATTTTAACACATAGATATTGGTACAAGGAGGCACCAAACACATATGCGCCACACAAATCTCATTCAATATGTGTGAGGGCTGTGATACTGCCCGGATGCCCAAACCGAAGCAGGTGGTTTTCTTAGGGGGTCACTCCCCGAACCTTCGACCTGAAGGTCTGGTCCACAAGGCAGTGGAGCATCGTAAGGGGATGCAGTCCCATGGAAGCCGGTGACCAACAATTGGTTCATACGCCATTTGTCCCCGCAGGATACTGGAGCCCATGTGCACCATTGGTTTGGAATCAGGTTAAAGCGCCGGATATTCGCTTTTCGTCCTCTCATTTTCGTAAACAACACCCCCGCCACGAGAAGGCAGTGAGTAGGGCTTCCCTGGCAGAGGCTATATACGCGTAGCCATGTGAGAGCATTTGGAGAGAGAGAGCGGACTCTCCCCACTCTCGGCCGTACCAGGGCATTTGGGGGCAAAGTAAAGCGGTACTACAGTCGACAAATAATTCGTAGCAGTTTTATGTAGAGCTAAATAATTAATAGTGAATTCCCAACCGTGCTTTTATTGTTCGTAATTAGTCACATAGCAAAACACTTATGTCCAATGGCATCTTCACGTTGTCCGTCTCATACTGTAAGTGTCCACATTTTTATCCGAGAAAGATCAGCCACCTTAGTAATTATCAGTATACGGTTGTGTAGATTGTTGACTTTAAATTGAGATCATGAACCTATCAATGTTAAACCACCATTGAAAAACTCGAAGCATTGGACGGCTGTTTTGTCCTAGTATAAGACGTGGATTGGTTAGTTAAACACCAACATCGTTAGGTGCCGGCCCAATGGTTTAAAGTTTAAGCGTTAACGCGAGACCGAAGATCCTGAATTCGAGACCGCGTGTCGGACTTGAGGTGCGCGCTGCTGAGAGGTCCCACACTAGGACGAAACAGCGGTCCAGCACTCTCAGGTTTTCAATGGTGGTCTAACATTCGTCGGTTCGTGATCTCAATTAAAAATACCTTAATAATGACGATTTTGCAAGTCGAAAATTTTAAGTAGTATAGTCATAAAGAGTAGTTTGTTTATAATTCTTTCTAAAGTTTTATTGTGACCATTACCATAAAAAAATATTTAATTTCAAAGACTTTCAAGATAACCAACAAATGGAAGTGGATATTAATGTTGATGTCAGCAATGTGACCCCTGGAACAGGCTCTGCATCAGTGCTCTTACATCCACTTGTTATTTTAAATATATCTGAACACTGGACGCGTAACAAAGTGAAGGAAAATTCTATAGCTGTTACAGTGTATGGAGCTTTGCTTGGGAAACAAGAAGGTCACCATGTTGAAGTATGTACAGTTATCTAATCCATATTATCGCTCATCTGACAGATATCAAATTCCTTTGAGTTATTACTTGATGAACCACACATGTCAGTTAACTCTGAGTTTTACAGCACTCGTGAATCTCAATGCAAACAAGTTTATCCAGATTTAGACATAGTTGGTTGGTATACCACTGGTGGTGCTATCAATGAAAAAGATGAGTTATTCAACAGACAGGTACAATCTGATGTCATCTGTTGATGCTTATTTTTAGATGCTAGAACTTAATGAATCTCTCCTCATATTAAAATTAGACCCTCTACAAACATGTGGAGAGAACCTGCCAATCGGGGTTTATGAGTCAGTAGTGGATAACGATGGGAGAGTTCACTTTAGACAGGTACCCGTTGTTTTTATTTTGTTTATGTTTGGTAAACTTAATTTGCTTTAACTTAACTTTGTGGTGTCATTCTATTAGTAGAAGTAACGATAAAACACACCCACTTAGTTTTCCTTTTGTATAACGTTAAGCTATTTTGATGTATCCCATAATGGATATATTTTTCGGATAATAGTGGTTTAAATATGGAGTGACTTTACAGTTCAAATGGTTCAACTTTTAGACCACTCTTATTGAGGTGGCCTGTTATGAATGTCATAGATTAAGAGAACCCAGTTCATAACTTTAATTATTGAGCTTTGTTTAATCGAATAAATAACAAAATCGTTTCGCAGATGTGATTACACTTTATAATTTACAAAACAGAATATGGATAACCCGTTAAATTAAGTTTCCATTTAGCATCAATGAATTTCTGCTTAATCATAACAAACCACTTATCTTGCGTCTTACTTCTTAATTGATCACTCTGTTTTTTTTCACTACACTCAAGAAATGTTTCGAAAACGTTTACGGCCAAATGCTTACGGCCTGCGTATCTCTTCTACTCTCTTAAACCATCTTTCGTATCCGTAAAGTAGAAAATAGCAAACTTCTGAGGGGTTTACCCACCCTCAAATAGCTAAACGATCTCATCTACCACGCAGGTTGCTAAATCCCTAATAGGCTTACTGAAGCTGTATTTAGATTTAATCACTCATCAAGCAACCAGGACTGATGAAACGTGCTATATAAATTAACTAGCCAACAAGTAGAATAACTCGTACTTGGATCACTTTTTACATTCCATACTTCAGTTTTTCTGTTAGTTATTCTTTATGTTTGTCCCAGCTACTGCGTTTGAAGCATCAGCTCATTTTTATTTCTTAAAAATACTCTGTGCAAACAGATTCTAGAGAGGTATTATTAATATTTACATATACATCATATACGATATGACACCATACTTAGTCACTCGTGTTGATCAATACACTTAATTTCCAGTTCCCTACTAGTACTTTTACTGCTTAAGTTTTGATGATGATTACATATCCGAAAGCCAACCAATGAAACCAATAGGTATCTCTTATTTCAGGTACTATATACTTTAGCAACTGATGAAGCAGAACGTATTGGTATCGATTATGTTGCACGTATTTCAATGTCATCTACTGATCAGACTTCATCAATGGTAAATCCCTTCTATTTCTTTATAATGTAATGATTTATCAATCTCTAATCACTTATATCACCTAAAACACACACTAACATTAATGTACTAAAACAAATGTTATCTAAATTTCAGCAGTTCAAAAATCCCCATAGGATATCCACAAATGTAGAATATTTGAGCGGACAATTTTTCAATAAATTCATCATCAGGTTCTAAAGTTATAAACATAAAGTAGATATTCATAGTACATTTCAACAGAAGTTTTCTCAAATAAATCAGTACTTACACAACAAATCAAGGATATGTTACCGATGATGAGCTCCTCCATGTGTGTACGCCAATTCAACTGCTCCAGTGGAGCTAGTTTCATAGGCCGTAATCAGAGGGACTTATTCTTGCATGTTCGTGAAAATGTACCAGCATGGTTGAAAAAAGGAGTTACTAAATCGATCAACAGTACTGTTCTTTCTCACTCGGTAGATAGTAAACATCATATCAAAGTAGGAGAAGCTTTCTCTGTTTCATATAAAGTTTTAAAAAATCTACCTCAAAGAGCTAGATTACGGCTATTTTACATAGCCGAAGCCATCTGGATCAACTCCAGAAAACCGAATTTATGTATCCAGAAAAGGTATATCCAGCCTCTATGTTTACCTTGACCTACGACTGGATCACCGGATACCTAAACTAAATATTATAAACCTCTTACCAGCTTCTCACTTTTTTATTATATCTATCTTAATCTTCATGTCCATCTTTCTCAATTCACATGGACCCTTCTTTATCGTAATCACCTTGATAACATCCCTCTTATTACTTATTATATTCACAATTAATTGATCACTGGGTGGTGATCAATGTCATGCGTGTCTAGTCCTTATTACTTATTATATTCACACAACGATATTATTATTATTACGATTGCTATTATCATTATTACCTCAACTAACAAGATGAAATTCCCATACTATTCATTTTATTCACATGATTTTTTTCGTTTTCACGTTTGCTAAGTTTTTGTTAACTGGCATTTGGAATTTCATTTAGACACTTATATCCAATGGTTTTATCGAACTTATTTAGAGGATCTTTTGTCAAAACACTGACTAATCTCTATGTTTTAATGTGGTGCATGCAATCCGCACTTAATCAGTTGGTAATCAGTGTCCGTAGATATGGTATGTGCTTTGCACCTTCGAAGTGCAATGTACTTCTACAAGAGTGGCAGGATCCTAATCCTGTACTCACCCTGGATGGTGAGCAGATAGAAGTAGTCGAGAAGTTTGTATATCTAGGTAGCGATATAAGTGCCGGTGGGGCTATGAGTGATGAGATCAATGCACGTATAGTGAAAGCCAGAGCGGCTTATGCCAATCTGGGCCACCTTTGGCGCCTTCGTGATGTTAGTCTGGCTGTAAAACGTCGGATCTACAACGCGTCGGTGAGAGCAGTTTTGCTCTATGCTTGTGAAACCTGGTCTCTCCGAGTTGAGGATGTTAGACGACTCTCTGTTTTCGATCATCGTTGTCTCCGAAGGATTGCTGACATCCAGTGGCAACACCATGCCAGTGATGCAGAGGTTCGGCATCGTGTGTTCGGGCACAGAGACGATAATGCATTTGGTGTCACCATCTTGAAACACCGACTTCGGTGGCTTGGATATGTTCTCCGAATGTCGTCCTAGAGAATTCCACGTCGTGCATTATTTGCCGACTCTGGGACTGGTTGGAAGAAGCGGAGAGTTGATCAGTGCATGACATGGTGTCGTGGTATGAAAGAAAGCTGCAAAGGACTTGCTTTTGTCGGTCCTTCACTGCTCCCTGGTTGGGGTCCGAGAGATGGTGCAACACAGTGGCTAGAGACGTTATCAGATATGGCTCAGAATAGAAGCCAGTGGCGTTCCTGCTGTAACCTTTTACTTTCTTCATAAAAAGTGTTTGTGTCTCCCTTACCTGAAAGATTCCTTCCGATTATACCTTTCCGTCCCCCCATTATTGCTATTATTATTATTACACTACCTTACACCAGTCTGTTCGTTATTGTTCCCCTTTCTTTCACGCTCCTTACTTTTTTTTCCTTTTTTTAAATTCTCATTGTTCTGTGTGGCGCATATATATTGGCGCTCTCTTGTACCAATATTTATGTGTTCAAATAAATAAATAAATAAGGTGCCTTCTAGCTCGAGATGTGTAGTCATAAAAGTTTGGTTCAATGACTCTGTTTAAACATTTTTTCATCGATTACTAGTGTATATCTGTGTATTTTTATTGTAGACTGCGGAACATTTACTAGGAAATTATCAGGCCATTCAAATGTTAAGCAGTCGCCTTCAGCTAATAAGATCTTATGTCGCAGCTGTTGCAGCAGGAGAATTACCACCGAATAGAGCACGACTGAGGGAGATCAATGCTTTAGTTAAACGAATCCCTTTCATGCCTCCTTCAGCAGCCGAACAAAATGACAATTTGTACCGTCAAGCCAATGATGTATGTCTGACAGCATTGCTTGCCAGCATAACTCAAGGTTTACATACACTCTACGGTTGTATGATCAAAACATCTCACGTTATAGATCGCCGATCTATTCCTTTGAGTGTGGGAAGTGGAATTATGGACTCAGGTTCCAGCCGTTTTGCTAAAGTTTCCCACTCAATGGGTAATTCTAATTGAGAAGGCAAAATGTGTATTTTGTGAATAGAGTCAGCTTATGTTATATAAACCGAGAATAGATTTCTGTAGTTGTACATATCGACGTCACAATTTTCTTCGATTCACAATACTCAAGAACCATTTGGATAAAATCATATATTTGATTGTACGTTGGCTTGTATATAATCATATACTGTACTGTGGTAACTTGGACAATTCTATGGCCTTTTTGTTTTTGATTCTGATACATAATCTTTGTCACAGCAGAAATTCATCGTCAATTCACTATTTTACCAATAAATAAAGATAATGAAAACCATAAAATGTAAATATTAGCTAGAATTTAATTCCATGTCCTAGTGGCTGAAAGTTAAGGGCTAATAATAGTCTCCAAATATCAGAGTTGGGCCATCTATTCGCATATTAGTTTGTTGTTATTTCTATTAATAGTTTGAGCTGGCTTCTCACTTATTTTCAAAAAGACTGAGTAATACTATGCTCATCATAGTGTTAACCATGAAATGAATCTTTTCACTTAGATTCAAAATTCATTTCTGTAACAAACAACTTTCTTAATGTGTTTGATTCTCACTAATGGATAAACTAAGTAATCAACAAATATAAATAATTTCAATGGTTGAGATCATGAGTCATTTGAAGATAGACCACCATGGAAAGCCTGGTAGCACTGGATGGCCGTTTCGTCTTAGTATGGGACTCCTCAGAAGTGCGCGAAACGGCCGTCCAGTGCTTCCAGGTTTTCCATGATGGTCTAGCTTCAATTGACTAATAATCTCAACCATTGAAATCACTATAATATCCACAAAACCCTTCAAATATAAATAGCTTATATATAACACTGATATTAAATGCTATTAGTTCATTTTTACTTTAGGTGTGCCCAAGATAACTATCGTTTCACATTCTGAAATATATAGCACATTCCGGGATCTTGAATTATCTAGAAAAACCTGTCTATTGAAAATTATCATCTGTTACGACTGTTATTTGTAGATTTCTCATCATAAAATATAGTTATATATACTAGTAATCTTCACGGGTAAATATTACCGAAAAGTAAACTCTAGGTGAATACATTGCCAAATATCTCATTATCTTGGAAAAGTTTTTTTGTCGTATGTAGTCACAGTAGTTGATTTAAAGAGAATCCACAAAAGTAATGTATTCACCTACCACCCCTTTCGAAGTCAACAGATACAGTTTCTTATATTTCATAGACAAGAAACTTACTAGATGATTACCAGGCTTTAAATTTCCGGATCTTAGTGTCTCCTGAACGTTACATGAAGATTCCACATTTTGTGTAGATTTTTAGATGAACACATCAAGAAAACGTTATGTTCTCCGACTTCTCTGTCCAAAATCCACGGGTAGAAACAAACAATTCATTTAACCTTCATATGAGTACCAAATAGTGGAAGAGTTATAGAAGTACGTCTGACCATGTTTATGAACATCGTAATCTGCTTTTGTAGTCTCACTGACCCTCGCTACCCACTTTTTTTCCAGCTCTTATGTTTAATGGTATGTCCAAAGTCAAAGGCACCAATAATAAGCTAATAACTGTTCTGTTGCCGTAGTTTCTGGAACCCACCTTTCTTCTATGGTTGTTTCACCATTTTGTGTACATAATTCCACACTAATGATACCTGAGAACTCTTAGTTCGAAATCGGTGTTTTACGTGTGACCATTTATGAGTCACTTGGATTTTTATCGTGTACCTTCATAACTTGTTACCTAACTGTATGAAAACCCATACCCTCACACTGAGTTTATCGTTTCTGACAGGTTTACACATAGTTGGTTTTATCTTTATGAAATTCAGCTTGCAAAACCCTTTTACCCAAATCACCCATTTAACTGCAGATACGACCTGTATTGAATCATGACCCACATTGATGCGACTTACTGTCATCAATAGATTTTCCTTAACAATAGTTATTCGTAGTGTCGGGCAAGCAGTCTAACATGTAACCTCACGAAAAGTGGACGCTCTCTATTGGGTCGTTGGTGGTGAGTGAGATGTCTGTCTGTATAGGGTTTGTGATTGGGTTTAATAGAACTACAGAGTAGAAGAACGTCTCTAGAAGCCGAGTCTATCATTTGATCATAAAATTGACCTGCTATTTCAAGTCAAGATAAATTTATTAATCAGTATCAAACTGTACCACACAAGATGGGATCGATTCGTAATATTTTGATTTGTAGTTAAAAATGGATAAACTTTTCTTCGTATAATGCCAACCCTTAACCTGAGAACTTAATGACTTGATATTTTTAATTTCTAACAACGGATTTTACACAATTTCCTTCTCGGCAACAATTTCACGACTAAAAACAATAATTTAGCTTCTATATATCACTGTAATTTGGTGTCGGATAAAAAGATTTAATTGAATTAGAGTTTGTTTAAAAGTTGGTTCATGGTATCAATAAAAACAAAAATCACAAAAGTTTTGAAAACAAATATATAATATTTCTACAATTCTGTGTTTATTTATAGACAAATAACTGTTAGTTAGATCCAGAGATAGGAATTATCGACCCTCCCCAACCTTTTTAAACTCCCTGTTTCGGAAAATAGTTAAAAGAGCGATATCCAATTATTGGTTCACAAATTCTGACTAGAATTTCTAAGTTATGGCATTACAGTTATTAAATCAATTTGAAAATTAAGATCTATCAACTCTGTGATACCAAGAAAGGAAAATCAATGTATACATCCTTCGTTAGGTGATAAGAGACTTTGTTGAAGTTTCAAATATTCTACTTCGCTTTCCGTTAAAACATTTAGTAATCTGTTACAGAGAATCGAAGTTGTTTTAAGCGTTAATATTGATTGGACTCATGACCTTCCTAATACATCTTCAAATTACGTTCTAGCTGTTTTAAAAACCGTAATCTTCAATTTAAAGACTTGACTTAAATATTACTTACTTAGGACAGTGTAAACAGTAAATAGTATAATCCATAATAATTCTGACCGTCTTTATCGATTGGTCTGAATCAGTTACACTGAAATCTAAACGACTTTGTGAGTTCATGTTACAAATTAAACGAGGAGAGGATTCAAGACAGTTCACTTCAATACAACTTAGTATTGGAAAGTTGGGAAACACTGCCTTGCTTTTCCTATTTTCACTTCTACTCAATTTTCAGTCAGCAACAACGTAGAACTTCGTATGTACGTACGTACATCAGCTCAAGTTGCCATACCACATTAGCATAGAAATACAATTGTCGATTCAAATCCCATAGTGGTAGAGGAAGTAAAAGTATAAGCAGTAATCGGGAAGATTAGGGTTTGGAGATGTTATTTAAAGAGTATAATCCAGTGAAATAAATTTGGAAAGAAAATAAAGGACATGAAGAATTCAGAAGATTAGAATTTGAGAGAACACAAAGAGTGGATGCATTGCACCATTGCAAACGATTTTGAGCCATGTCATTCAGGGTCTCTAACCATCGGTTGCTATCATCTCGCGGTCCCCAACCAGGTAGTCTACACCTACCAACATGGTTCAGTCCATTTGTCAGTGACTTCATGGATTTGTGCCATGTTTTGGTCTGGCCGTCCCTAATTTTCCTCCAACCAACTCCTACACCATGAAACATAGCACGTCGGGGCAGTCGGTGGTTAGGCATACTTAACACGTGTCCCAGCCATCTCAGCTGATAAAGTTTCACTACCTCATCAATTGATTTGCCATCTTTACCTAGTGCCCGTTTCCTAACAACTGCATTACTTACTTGGTGGTCCCAGGATATCCGAGCAATGTTTCGAAGACACCTGTGATCGAATACTAGTAACCTACGGATATCCTCTACTCTTACCGGCCATGTTTCACTGCCATAAAGTAGGACGGAACGAACTGCTGCGCAGTAAACACGTCCTTTGGTTGATAGATGGATATCTCGCCTACACCATAAATGACGCAAGTTGGCAAAAGCTAGTCGAGCCTTAGGTATCCGTGCTGAGATTTCGTCACACACCAGACCACAGGGGCTGATGAGACTTCCAAGATAGGTGAAGCGATCGACACGTTCAATTACTTCACTCCCTATCATTAGTTCGGGTGTCCATGCAAACCAATCCTGAATCAACATTTTGCATTTCGAGGGAGAGAATCGCATGCCGAAAATGCTTGCATTGTTGCTTAGAGTGGTCAGAAGACTGCATTTTCTGTGTCTTCACCAAATAGAACTATGCCATCGGCATATTCTAGGTCAGAAGGTGAATCTCCTGGTAGAAGTTCAACCCCTGCAAATTTAGATGAGGAAAGTGTAATCTTTAAAAGCACGTCAACGACAAAGTTGAACAAAAATGGAGAGAGTGTACAGCCCTGACGAACATCACTTTAGGTAATCAATTCTGATGACAGGTCTCAATAAGTTGTCACTCAAATATTTGTGTCCGAGTAGATAGCCTTTATAAGGTTAATGTACTTCTTTGGTACTCTTTTCAGTGACAAACACTGCCATAGAACCTCATGATCAACAGAGTCGAATGCCACCTTGAGATTGGGAAATACTATTATTGTGGGATGTCTGAATGTGTATCTATGTTCTAGGATCTGACGTAATGTGGATATCTCGTCTATACAGCCACGTCCAGATCGGGGACCAGCCTGGTTTTCTCTAGTCTGCTCTTCACGAGCTTTGGTTAGGCGTCGAAGTATTATTGAGGCTAATATTTTAGACACTATATTAGTCAAACTGATTCCTCTGTGATTGTCACAAGAGGACTTTTGTCCTTTCTTATAGACTGGCACAATCAGTGGTTGAGACCAGTCAGATGGGATTACGTCCAGTTCCCAAATTCTACCTAAGACCTCAGTTAATCTCACTGCTAATACTGAACCACCATCCTTAAAAATCTCAGGAGTAAACCTGTCAGGGCCTGCTGCTCTCCCTCGCTTCAGATTTCCTATGGCTTTTTCAACTTCGTAAAGAGACGGAGGACCTACATTAACTTGCCATTCAGGTTGATTGGAGATCGTGGGAAACCGAAGTGTGGCTGAAGGCCAGTTGGACTCATCCCTAAAGTGTTCTGGCCATCGATCCAATCTTCTGGATTGGAAATGAATAAGTTGTCCATCTTTTTCCAAGATAATTTCACTAACAGTTAGGTTCCTAGTACCGGTTTCCTCAAGAAGTCTGAACAATTGTCTTCTATTATTTATTGCCGCTGCCTTTTCCATCACTCTTGCCTTCACTACACACCACTGCTCATGGTCATTGCGTAGGCTTCTTATCATCCTGAGCTTAAGCTCACTTCGCCATGTTACAAGCCAGATGGAATGAGTTTTCGAGTATCAATCAGTGCAGTTGATGTCGCTGAGATCCAGTATTTCTCCCCAACCTTATGGTTTATCTGACTAGCAGTTATCATTGCTGTTTTCACAGCTTTTTTGATATCATTCCAAGCCGCCTTGTGGCGAGCATCACTTACATGGCTGCCTAACTGTTTTTCTAGTTGTCCCTGAAATGCATTCTTAGCTCCGCTATCATTAAGTAGAACCCTAAGGGATTTTGTTGCAGCGTCTTTCCTACGTCCAATAAGACGCAGACAAAGACGCGCTAACACTAGAGCATGATCTGAACCTAAGCATTTGTTCCAGGATGAGCGACAGTCTTCTATCGAGCCCCTCCATCGGTAGCTGATAGCAATGTGATCTATTTGGGTCCAACTTTGAGACGAATTAGGGGGTCGCCATGTTAAAAGATGTTTTTGCCTTAGTATTTGCAAGAAACAAGCGGTTATCTAAGCACAGCTGCAACAGACGGTCGCCATTATCTGTTCTTTGAGCCAAGACACCATAAGATCCACATAGATGTTTCTCGTTTTCGCCTAGTTTTCCTACTTGAGCATGCAAGTCATTAGCCACTATTACTACGTCAGAACGCCTAACCTTTTGGAGGAGGTCAGAAGACTTTCTTTAAATCTCATATTTTACCTCATCTGAACTGCAGTCAGTGGGAGAGTAGGCAGCGACGACAAGTGTCCCTATCTTCCCGAGTCTTTACTGTTCCGTTTAGTCGGACAGCGCACAAGTGGTTGTCTACTGGGATCCAGTCTAAGAAAGCTAGTTCTTCCCTAGGAATTAATGTTATACCTACGCCGGCGAGGCCACGAGAAGCAACATCAGGGCTTCCAGATACACGAAGTGTGAATCGAGATGGTTCTTTATTTTGATATGGTGAGGTCAAATGAATGACGCTACTCGGATCCTGTATGCGCGTTTCGGAGACGCAGAACACATCGATGGTGCGAGATCCTAAATTCCTAGCTAAGGAGGCCTGTTGTCCTATTTGACACAGTGTTCGGACTTTAAAAGCTCCTACATGTAGTTTAGAATTTGGCTTCAGGAGACTGGGAATAACGTTCCGCGTACTCGAATCGTTTGCATTAGCGGCGTGAGAAAATTTATTCGTGGAGATAAGAGGGTTATTAGGTGTAGGAAGAATTTGATTGTGACCGACATGGTCTCATGTGTTGTTTTGGGTATGAGGGCTGATGTCACTTTCCGGCTGCCCACATCGTGGAAGGGTATTTCTTAAGGAACCTGAAGAGTAAATTGGATTAGTATTGGTCTTAACGACCTGGAAGAGTGACCGCAGAGCCCAAGGGACAACTACTTGAGGTCGGTCGCGCACGGCCTTCTCGTGGAAGGTTTTTAATGTGTTAGCTCCGTTCTTCAAAGGACCTTACCGCCGGAGACAGGAATCCGTGAGGTGTGACATTTTAAGGGTTGACCTTTCCTAACCCCTTCCTTCCTTGTGAGAAGGCAGCGTCGCTGCAGATACTGGTTGTCCGAGAGAAACACCTTACTGCTTTCACACCCCTCTACAGTCAGCAGTATGACTTCGCCCTCAGACCTCGAGTTGCTGCTTTTAGTCTTACCGTTCTCCAATCGACCTGCCTGGCATGATAGAACATACGGGAACATATGTTCTAGCCAGTATAGCTCGGTCGGATCATTACGATAGGCAAGCCCGACCACCACGTCAATGTAGCAGCTACGGTCGGGCTACTCGATTTTAGTCAGTCTTTTAAGTACTCATGTTTAGTTATTTTGTAAGCTACTACTAGTCATACGGTTGATATGTATTGTGAATTTTTGGAAGTTCAAGTCCTGGGACAAATCGATTACTGTAAAAGTAGACGCCCCAGATCGTTGGCAAATATTTATTAATCCCGAAAGAATCATTTTTTTAATTAGTTCAGAACCTACGTATAAAGTAATTTACATTTTAGATAGTGAAATTTTGTCTTTATTCCGGTGTGGAAACTCACCACTACCAAAACCTGATTGTTTCAATAATCAAAAATTTTCTATATTAGACATCAGACTGAAATAATCAAGTCCACATTCATATTTAAACATTATTAAATAAATTAACCCCTTGAATTGCTGACTTAAAATTAAAAATAACTACGTATATAGTGTTTACATTTTCCAATTAATTAAGGTCTCTATTCAATCCATTTTTGATTAGTAATACTCTCGCTCTGATCCGCAATTTTAATGCTTATAGTTTTTTAGAGAATTATAATGGTCATCAAACTTACACCAATTAAGTTACATGTACTCCAAGTTATACACTTTTCTTGTCATCTTTCTCTTGGTCTTCTTCATCGTTATTCCTAGAAATAAAGTAGAAATCGTAAAAAAGCTTTTTATGACCATTATATTTACTCGTTGTCATCTTCGTGCTTTTCTTGATCTCTGTCAGCAGTTTGTTTATTTAGTATAAGTTGGTCGTCATATAAATGTCGATAGTCTCCAAGAATACCTATTCTTTTTGAAAAGTTTATGTATTACTGATAACATATATACTTTTCATTTTCTTCATGTACATTAGTCTCAGTCATATGTAACCTTTAAAAATAAATATTATTGATCATCGGAAATGTTTATTTCCATGATTACTTTCTTTGCTTATCTTCACTTTTGTTCAGGTTAATCTTAGCTATGTTTTCTTCCGCACCAGGTAATATAAGCCTTAAGGCTGGTGAGCACTTACTTTGAAAATGAAACTCCATAAGAATACAAAATTAGGGATCATACTTTAGCATTGATGCTCGGGGTAGTTGTGTCTGATATATCTTGATATTCTTACTATCGAGTTCGCCTTTTTGACCGAAATAGGAAGCTCCTTGTCGCCCAAGAGAATTGAACATTTCTGATCTTGTAAACCTAAAGGCAAAAGCATTAAGGTATTTCAATTTGATAAAGACACTACCATTTTACTCGATTTTTTACAATTATGTATGGTATCTACATATAAAAAATTTTTTTATAAGCGAATATGAACGATGAGCTTGTTTGTTACAATCAATGCTGAACTTTATTTGTGATGGTGGAGAATATTTGTAACTCAAGTGGATGATTTTGACGAAGTTTTGTTCTCGAAACTGAATGGTTTGGATATGGATTTGTTTCTCATTCAGTCTATCAGTGTTTAAATAAACGGAAATACTAAGTATAAATTATGGAGCTAGAATTCCTATGCATTTGATGGCTGATATATTTTACATCCTAGTGAAGATTAAATTATAGGTAACTTCTGAGAACCATTAATGAACTAATATTATATTTGTTCTTATTTTGTAACTATTCAGTAACTAAATTACGCATAACTATATTCCTCTTACTATAAGCTTTATTCTGACTTATAAACTATCATGATACGATTTATTATTCTTAAATTATTCTCAGTCTATCAATTACCATCACCCACAACCATATCCACCTTTTGGCCTGATCTTGTACAAATGTTATTTCCTATTTCATGGTGTGATGTGGTCCGTTTGGCTCGTGTGTAAACCAGGTATGTTTAGAATAAATGATTCGCGTAGCGAAAGCTGGTATTGGTGTTTTGGACTCAACTGGCAGGGCTAGTAGTACAAAGGACCAATAAAGATGCTAGGCTGCTGATACCGGTCGAACGTCATTGGTTTGACGCAGTGATAAGACTGTATAAGTCGTATTCTGATTGGCGAATAAATCACGCGATATTTAAGGGAGCTTAAACACACAACAGTATATAGTGGTAAAGGTTAGCTTTCTTTTAGACCAAAATTTACTGTATGCTATCTGGACTGTGAATAACACTAACTCCATCAAGAAAGCTCATAAAGTTTATATGTGATACATATATCTAACTTAGTCAAATCGACATTCAAATTGTGATACCTCGAACTCAATATTATTTACAAGTTCATCAGATCGTTGCACGGTTTTCAGTGATACTTCATTTTATTAATCTATGTCTACGTATTGCGTTCAAAGTTCATTCGATCTACTTTATTTCGTATTGAAAATTTCGTACACTAATTGTTTTAGTTTTGTTGTCAATGTTTCCTTTGACTCATCATTAATTAGGACAGCTTTTAACATGTATTTAGTTTGTCCCATACTTCTTACACTCGTACTTTAATGGTATATAATTAAAACTATGTGTATTAATTACGTACCATCCAATTTGAGCACAGATTTCTTTAAATCTTGTTCGTAGAAATGTTATCCACATACAAAATACAAAAAACCAAAAGAATGTTTCATATAAATTTTGATCTGTTTTTGCCGTTGCAACTGGATCAATTGGTCTAGGGCATATATTATGCATTAGACTTCGTTCAAGTAGTATAAATTTAGCGTACGCAAGTGAAAAATCATATTTTAATATATCTATTCGTTTATGCAATTCTTCTTGTTCCTTTAACTGGTTTACATTGGGTAATCTAAAATGGTCAAACGTTTATTTAAGAAAAAAATTGATAATATTCATAAAATTCGAAATAACACTTTACAATTTTTCATCGGCAAATTTTTCTTCAAATTTCAATATCTTAAAATAACATTCTAAATATTTTGCCAAACTTATCAATAGTTTGTCACATTCTGGGGATCTAATTTAAAGAAAAACTAGTTATCAAATAACCAATAAAAAATATACTTGATCATTTTAGCAAAGTGTTGGGAATATTGAAAATGCTTTCCTGAAGCTTTTAGTCTTGTCAAAGCAGCAGCTGTCCTTCCACTAGAAAAACTTGATACTTACATTTTATATCCTTTATAGTTATTGTACGAATTTCATCAACAATTTTCATATGACTCTTTTTGTAAAGATTTCTGGTCATCACCGTAAAAATTTATTCAATATTTTACTTTTGTGAATAAATAGACTTTTGTGATTTTTGATCAGTAAATTTGATGAACACAAGTTCATTTTTATCATCGATCCACTCAAATCTTCCTGTTGTCGGCTTTAAAAACCAAAATTATCATATAATTAGATTAAACACACCAAACTTAGTTCACTTTGAAGAGGATTTGCATCGTTCATTGTGTATTTCAATGGTATCTGAAAAATAGAGATAAAGCGTTTGGTACAACGTTTTAGCTCAATAATATAAATTTGACAAAAATTGTATGAAAACAAAGATTTTTTAATGATTGTTTAATTTGAGACATGTTTTAATCACAAACTGACATTAGTTGGATAATCATTGTAAATCGAAGATCGATGAACAGCTATTTTGTCCTGGTTTGTGACTCCTCAGGTTTGATGCTGTGTGATCCAGATTGCATACAACCCAATACTGCTAGCTTATAACAAAATAGCTGTGCATCACTTTCTAGTTTTCTGTGATCCTTCAGCTTGACACCAGTGTATGATATAAACTTCCCTTTTCTACCTATCGCAATAAACATAAAATTATTCATAAGTTAAAGCTGAAAAATCTATTAACCCATAATGTATCAAAAAAATTTTTTGTACGATGGTTTTGACTTATTTTACGTAGACATCCACTACTAGTGACTTGCCAGAACTTTTTTATGTACAAAACGATTGATCTTACTTTACTTGAGTCGCCTGACCTAAAGTCTGATCTTTTGAGTTCATATAAAACATTAATATCAATTTTATTAGATTATGTACAAAATAATTATCATAAGAACTTGTTTTACCCTAGGATAGTATTTAAGACGGATCATCACACATTTAAAAAATGAACATTACTCCTATCTATATCCCAGGAGAATAAGCTGTGAATTTTAAATAACCGGACTTCTTGTTATGGCTGACTGAACTGAATCCCATTATTGTAGTTCTGCACACCTGTACTACTGATTTTTCACCCCTATTGTTATCACAGATTCGCATATCCGTTATTATTGTAAATTTCACGTAGATATGTTTATTGTATTTTAGTCAAGCAATTCAGATTGACACTGTTGGTTATGTAATATATATATGGTAATGCTTATTCATGCCTTCAGATTTTCTTCTTGAACCATAACACTTCTGCATATTAATACAAATAGATTTTGAATGTTGTAACTAATTTAAATGTTGGTAAAATAATGATCTCAAAACATTTGTCTGTTAGAATATTTCAGTGTATTCTGCACATGGGATTTTAAATTACTGGAGCAGTTGAAATATACTTCGAATGTTAATAACTACAGTGACTTCCAATTAAAATTATGGTTTATTGTTCGCATATATGCTTGTACTGTGTTTTGCTTCACGTAAAATATTCAGATCAAATGTATTTTATGGGACCCTATTTATATCTGAGAAGAATTAAAAACAGCATATTTTACTATTTCAAGGCAGTTAAACTTCATGCTGATAAAATCAGGAAAAGACAAAAATAAAACATCTCCAGTTGAAAGCAGTCATTAAGCCTTGTTTGTTATTCACTATGAACCAATAAACTTTTACTTTATCTAGGTATATCAATGAGGTTTGGCTCCTGCTAAGTAACATTATTGTCAGAGAATGTACGTTCACTCAGGTGATTAAATAAGATAGTTGTCTTAATTTGCTCACAAAACAATTGCAAAGCTTACTCGAGTGAGTTGAGGCTCAATTCATCGACTCTTCCAGAAGAAAGTTGAATCTACTGAGAGACCATCATTGTCAGGAATAACACAGGCCATCAAGCCTCCCGTCTTTTCCAAACTGAAACTGGGTCAATATAAAATTAACTGATGTCTGTAAATTTTGTTTACTACCTCGCTCAGTGTTTTTATGTACAATGAAGAAAAAGTATGTAAGAAGCCTAAACCCTGATAAGCAACATAGAAAACCTTAATTCCTACTTGATCATAGCTCCACCTGTAGCTCTTCTAGCGTTACTGCCGGTTCCAGGCCCGGGTGAAGGAGGAAGATTGGGCATGGCGTCGTAAACCCCATCCCGTGGAAAAAAATCTTGCTAAAAAAACACCAAGCAGATTGAACAAATTAAACCATTTAAACTCTGCCCTGGGGGTTGCAAGAAGAACTATGACGCTCCACAATGAAAGCCGCGATTCTTCGGAAGTCACGAGACCGATGTCCCTTCTAACAACCAGAGCAACAATTAATATAGGTACGTGGAATATCCGGTCAATGCGAGACACTGAGAGGACTGATCAAATAGCTATGGAAATGAGAAGATACATCTCGACGGTTCCCGAAGTCAGTGAAAACCATCGGACTCAAGTTGAACTGAAAAGGTTGGGTACGGAAAAGATGCTGCTGTACTCTCGTCACGAAAATGAACTTGCTCCGCACACAGGGAGTTGCTCTAACGCTCTCCAAAGTAGCACGAAATGCATTTGTAAGATGGGAATCTCACGGATCCAGAATCATCAAAGCATCATTCAAAACAAAGAAGGAGGGGATCACAATGAATATTATCCAATGTTATGCACCCACCAATGATAGCGACGACGACATTAAAGATCAATTCTACGAGCGGCTGCAGTCAATCATAGAGAAGTGCCCAAGAAACGACCTCAATATTCTGATGGGAGATCTAAACGCCAAAGTCGGAATAGACAACACTGGATATGAAGATATCATGGGACGACATGGACTGGGAGAGAGAAACTAAAATGGGGAGATATTCGCAAATCTATGTGCATTCAACAAATTGGTTATTGGTGGCACAATATTTCCACACAAACGTATACACAAAGCTACATGGATCTCACCGGACCACACCACAGAGAATCAAGTAGATTATATTTTTATCAATAAAAAATTTCGAATGACATTGGAAGATGTGAGAACCAGGAGAGGTGCTGACATAGCTTCAGACCACCACCTAGTTGTTACCAATTTAAAACTAAAGCTGAAGAAGAACTGGACAACGGGACAGACAACACTACAAAGGTTCAATACAGCCTTCCATTGAGATACTAACAAAATCAACGAATTCAAGATAGCTCTCAAAAACAGGTTCCAAGCCTTACAGGATCTACTGAAGGAAGAAGAAACTACTATAGGGGGCAACTGGAAAGGTATCAAAGAAGCATTAACTTCAACGTGTCAGGCGGTTCTGGGCCTAAAAATGCATCATCATAAGGAATGGATCTCTATAGAAACACTGGACAGGGTCAAAGAAGTAAGAACAAGAAGACAGCAAATATCAACAGCCGAACACGAGCAGAGAAAGACAAGTTACAAGCCGAATGCACAGAAGCAAACAAGCAAGTGAAGATGATTATTTGAGCCGACAAGAAGGAATACAGGGAGGAATTAACTACAGCGGTTGGAAAAGCTGCGAGAGAAGAAAATATGAAACAGCTTTATGATATAACGAAGAAACTGGTAGGGCGATATGAAAAACTAGAGAAACCGGCCGAAAGCAAAGAACGAAGGTCAGTCATCGAGATTCAAGAACAGAAAAACAGATGGATAGGATACTTCGAGAAACTCTTGAATAGACCACCTCATTTGAATTCACTGGAAGGCATTTGACAGTGTTGACAGGAAAACATTATGGAAACTACTTCGATACTATGGAGTTCCTGAGAAGATTGTCAACATTGTACGGAACTCTTACGATGGACTACAATGCAAAGTCGTGCATGGAAGACAGCTAACAGATGCATTCCAAGTAAGGAAAGGAATCAGACAAGGCTGCCTACTCTCTCCCTTCCTCTTTCTTCTGGTGGTCGACTGGGCTATGAAGACCTCGACATCTAAAGAAAGCGCGGACTACAATCGATAGCTTGCATGAAACTAGACGATTCGGTTTTCGCAGATGACCTGGCCATCCTATCCAATACTCACAAAGAAATACAGATGAAGATAACTAGTGTAGCAGCAGTCCCTACATTAGTAGACCTCAACAAACAAAGGAAAAAGCAAACTCCTCGAACAACATAGAAAACGCCAACCAACCCAACCACACTTGGTAGAAGAACCCTGGAAGAGGCGGAAACTTACACGTATCTGGTAACGTCATGAATGTGGAGGATCAGATGAAGATGTAGAGGCGAGGATTGGTAAAGCAAGGACCGCATTCCTACCGTTGAAGAACACATGGAACTTAGAACAACAACAATATCAAAGTAAGAATCTTCAACGTGAACGTCAAAACAGTCTTACTGTATGTAACGAAACGTGAAGAACTACCGCAACCACGATCAAGCATGTACAAGTTTTATAAACAGTTGTCTACACAACATACTGCGGGATAGAACAAACCAACTTCCAGCTGACGAGGAAATTAGGAAAAGACGCTGGAAGTGGATGGGACATACATTGAGAAAATCACCTGACTGAGTCATGAGGCAAGCGCTAACTTGGAATCCTGAAGGGAAATGGAGAAGCGGAAAGCCAAAGAACATACTGCGTCGGGAAGTGGAAGCATAAATCGAAAGGATGGACAGCAACTGTAAACAAGTGGAAAGAATCGTCCAGGACAAAGTTAGATGGAGAGTGCTGGTGGGCGGCCTATTCTCCACCACGAGGAATAACAGGAGTAAAGAAAAGTAAAGTAAGTAACCAAAGTTTAGGTTATGCTTCTTCATCCACCTGGTGTAGGTCGTCCTATAGAGGTAACGCGTTCAATCATTCATAATTACAATGTATACTGACGATTAGCTACTTTAGCTATCCTCCAAATAAGACTGAAGGCTATGATTTTTTGGTTACTTCTTCTCAGATTAGACAGAATTAAGTGGTTGTCAATCAGAAATTCTTCGACGGAGAAGATACTATCTGTGCGTGACGGCACCTGACGAATCCTCGAAATGATCTCAATTCTTCAATAAGGTCAAAGAACCAAAATTACGTAGTCGTTATCTCCTTTGCTCGTGCGCTAAGCAAAGCTGACTTTACGGAGAATGCCATCTCCTGAAATCATTATATCAGGTTGAGATAATCTCTCCCGTTAACAATTATCGTACTCAGTGTCAGCAGCTAACTTACCGCAAAATACTAACCAGTGATCTTTAGGGGTTTGCAAATATCGCTGAGTGTCGTAAAAATTCATGAAGATTGATAAACTATTAAGTGTGTACTTTTAGTGCTATTGGACAGAAGTACATAAACAGGTGAGTTCCCTCTCCTATTCCGGACTATATGCCTTTGAGTATTGAAAACATGTCAGGTACAGACGGCGTCCCGCATGTGGCTTGAGGTGCCCACGTTTCAAATTTTTCTTTCATATGGGTATCATGTACACTGCTTGGCTCATGCAGGTCATACAATATGTTCTGTAAACACGTAAGCTTGATTCTTTCGATATGAAAGGCTTATGCGTTCTTGCCTTGTCCTCTCCAATTGGCCATGGAAGAAAAATAGACCTACCTACCCATATATTTACTTATGCTTGACAGTCCATACATAGAATTGTCTACTCGAGTCGCTTTCAGTCTTGATTCTGGCATTATTTGGCTTGTTCAAATGAATGTAGATACCGATTGATAACCAATGTTTGTTGGCACAAGATACATCGGGATCGAATGCGGTGATCTGAAGAGGAGAGGAAACCACCTTCGGTATTTTTTTGCCTGGTATATCTATCCTTCTTGGTCAACCGTACCACATGTACGATCAATATGTTATAATGCTTCAGCGAAGGCTTTACGAACTTCCGCTCTTTAATATCATAGGTTGCATAATCATTGTATGTGTTTTCTGGGGTACTTTGCACAACAATTCTTCTTTATTCAATCTCAGTCAACTTGAGTTTTCGTCCGACCTGTCTTAGGACATAGTACACATGTACTCGTATGACGCGACTCATGGCAAGGACCACTCAAAATGGCATTCAAAGGACCCATCAAAGTCCTTCATTGCAAACGCGAGACAGATTATATTAGAGGAAACATGAATATTGTAGAAGATTTGGTCGAGAAACAAAATTATCTTGACAATTGGTTTGCAGTAACATCCAGAAAATTCATGGAACAGAGTGATGCCTGCACATCTGGCATCAGGTCAGACTGCAGGGATGAAAAGAGTTTAGGTAACAGCATCTCACGGCTTGTTGAGATGGATCTCACTGAATGGTCAGTCATTTTTTCATAAGTTAAGAGAGTTATTCAGAAGGGAGTCAAATCGTGCATCTGAACACAGCCACATTATGGCCTTAATTAATAAGCTACTTAAGGAGACAGTCGCAGGAGTTTATATTCATAAGCTTTATAGTGTAGCACAAAAAGTGGGTTCAAGAAGCACGCAAACAAACCGAGTCATGGACGTAACTCCTACTTTTGCCGAGAAAAGGAGCCTAATATTGAAAAATCGATGCGAACTGGCTGAATCCGTAATATATGTTCGTAAGGATCTCAGCATTGTTAATCATATAAGTAGACTATCAAAAAAGCATAAACATATGAGCGCCGCCGGAACGGTTAAAACCTCATACTTAAGGGTTTTCACGCAAAACGAAACTAAACTACTCAGCGGAACGAAGGCATTTGTCACCATATTAAGGGTATGTCATGCAAATGTTAAATATGATGGAGGAGCTCAAATACGTGGTGAGTACAGAAAATCCTAGTGTTATTTCTGTCTTAGAAACATGGGTAGCGTCAGATAAGTATGATAGTAGATATTAATCGCTTCGTTTCTTACTTTGTAGGGCTGACAGAATAAACTGTAGGGTTACTGAGATTATCCTGTTCATGAAAAGCGTCCTAACCATACGAGCTACAAAGATGGTGGCACACGACTCCAGGACATGTGAACTGGTGCTTTGCCTTCAAAAATATAAAGGGCAAGATGTTCAATCGGTTGTAGTATACCTCAGCCATGAATGATCATGTGGTCATCACGTCCAAGTTCATGGTTGATCTGGTCTGTCAAGCTGTTGCGCTAGCCCATCCTAGCTCATGGAAGGCAAACATAAAGACGACTATCTCTGCAGCCTCGACTGAAAGCTTGAAAATTAACTCCGGTGCATCAGTAGACGAGGCATGAACTCAATTCCGGCAGTCATATAATCAAGTAGCTCAACTATTTACATACCGGACAGTTCCAAAGAAGAAAAAACACAGGCATTACTGGATAAACTGGAAGATGCGAAATCCACCAAAACAAAGGAATTGTTGGGTAGCCATCAGCCTCTAAACAACAAATAGAATTGGATGCTACAGGTAATTGAGAAGTTAGTATGTAACTAGAATTCAGGTATCTCAGAGAAAATATGAGAACCAGTTAACGTAATATGTAATCAATCATCCCAAGAGACTGGTCTCGTACATAAATTACAAAATGAAGGTGCATCATTGAACCTTCAATCCAACTACCGAATGGAGTGAACCTTAGGTTACAGAGAAAAACAATGACAAAGCAGAGGACATTACCAACTACTTTGAGATAGTTTTCACTCAGGAGGCCCCTTTAGACGAAGGACTAGACCCAAATAAAAGATGACGAAATTGGTTGCTTACTGTGAATTTTGATCTGGACGGAGTACTAAAGGCCCTGAGCACCTTATACACAGAAAGCTCAACAAGACCAGATGGACCACATGTTAGAATTCTAAGGTCAATTATACCATACATTGTCACTCCATTGGCTACTATATTAAATCTGCAAGTTAGCCAAGGTGAGTTACCCACGGACTGAAATGATACAATCGTCAATCCAATACATAAGACAGGAACAAGACAACTTCCATCAAACTGCTGACATGTCGGCAGTACTTGAAATACTGTAGAGAATAATCTAAAACGTCAAAACAACATTCGTAGGAATCAATAACTTGTTGAATAACGTATACCGTGGTTTCTGAGAAGGATTAGCTTACATAACATTCTCAAGCAAGGGTGGCTCTACATAGTGGAAAACCAGTGGATGTTGCCTATATAGACTTCAACATGAAGTAGACTACTCTTGAAGCTAGAAAATATGAGAAATTTCGGACTTCGCCTGGAGTGGATCAAGGATTTTGTGATAGGTCGCAGACATAAAGTACGAATAAATTACAAATGCTCCTCCTGGAAACCAGTACGTAGTGGAGTACCGCAAGACTTTGTCGTAGGTATTTTGCATGTTATATTGTATATACAGTTAGGCCTTCAATTCTACTACACTCTGATGATGTAAAAATCTGGCGTGAAATAGCAGGGAACACAGATGCGCATGTTTTTGAGGCAGACTTGAATGTTCTAATTAACTAATCTAAGAAATGGCTGATGTCTGTCAACGTGGCTAGGTGTGTCTACATGTATATTTGTGGATACAACGATATATATGTACAGCGCAGGAGAAAAGTGAGTGCCTATAGTTCAGTCTGACAAGGATCTTGAGATGAAGGCAAGCCGCAATCTGAAAAGCACAGACAACCATAATCAGGTCACGGCTAGAAAGTTTAGAACATTACGGGCTTAAAGACGGACATTTATTAAGTTAGTTCTTAATATGTTCACTACAGTAAACACAAAACTAGTGAGATCCAGGCTGCACGTCTTCGTTCAAAAGGCGACTCGGATATGTTGGAAAAATTAAAAAAGAAGCTACTGGTGCAATTACAGAACTCAGGGGTGTAGCCGTAAATAAATCCCCAAAACAAATAGCTCTGTAAGTCTTCGACATTGGATGCTGACCACGTTAGTTTTGGTGTACTCACCTAGTTGAAGGCGTTCGGTCATGCATCCACACCAGATCACGAGTGGGAACGCCGTGCTCAACATCCCCTACAATCGCTAGCCAGTCTAAATAAGCCGATCCGCGATATATTGATATCCTATTAAATATATCTTCAGACTTCCTCCCTCTTACCTTTTGATTTCACTTGTTGGGTACGCTTTATATTAGGTGTTACTGGTTAAAATGTCAAATTCTGAATACCTGTGACATTTTCAGGGGTTTATTGTACAAAAGGTGGCTTGAAAAGCTAGACCTCTTTACTTTGTCTTATCGCAGATTAAGATTTGATCTTATTTTGATGTACAGAATACTAAGAAATGACTTTGGATACGATATATCCTCTCTTTTTCTTCCCACTAGATCGGAACATCTCAGAGGATTTAGCAAGCGAGTAGAGAAGCCAAGAAGGAACAAAATACCCGTGGCATACATGTTTCCACACCAAGCCATCAATTATTGGAACCTGTTATCCGAAGCGCTGGTGTCCGCACGCTCAAGTGACTGGTTTAACAAAAGATCAGACACTCGGTGAAGCTGACTAAAAAAAAACTAGCGTAGGCTCTCTCTTCTTACTACACAAATCCGAGTCTAAAAACCATGTACTCTGCTCGGCAAAAGCACTGTTATCGTCTTATGAGTAACTCGCTTTGTAGTTCTTAACAGTTTTGTTATTGACATACTCATTGCGTGTTGGTATCTGATTTCGAGAAAAAAACAATGATACAGCCCGTTTCCTTCAACTGTTCGGCCATTTCATACGGTATAAACCACTAAGATCAACTTGAATAGCTCTACTCTAACTCCATCTTTGCTCTACTTTTTGTTTCGAGTTATTGTTTACTAGATTGATGTTGTAAATTTACGTGAAGGTAAGGAAAGCTATAGAAAAATATTTTGAGGCAATACAAGATATGGTGCCGTAAGTTTTATTGGTGTATTCATTTTCGCGGAAAATGTCAAATAATAATTTTACGATATACATTAAAATAAAATACTAAACTCACGGGCTCAGATTTGAAAACGTGCCAGTTTTGCTACCATAGCAACACTACTGACATCGTACTCAAATAGAAGCAGCCTGGAAAGAAACTTGCCATTATTTACATTAAATTTTAATCAAACATACAACCAGTAACAGAACCTTTGTTTGAATCATTTGAACATGCTTCTCGTTCCAGCCGTACATGTTTTACTTAATAAGTGTGGGCAATACTTAGTGTTTTCCTTTTTTGTTCTTGAAGTTCTTTTGTATGTATACAAATCTTATTACCTTCATTACGGATCAAGTGCCTGTGTAGAGGAGTTGTTTATATTGTTTGGTTGGTTGGTCTCAGAAGTCGCAAAACATTTTTTCGGTTCTTTGATATTTGACCCTAACGGTATTTCCAAACCGGCGTATATTTCCACCCTTGTGTTTTACATTCCTTCGGCTTTAGGTGGCACATTCTTTTTGTTCTGGCAGTCGTTCGTTACACAAATAGAAGTCGTCACCTGTTCTACTCTCTTGTGTTTCAACTGTCTTCAGTTCATTACATCCCTAGTGGTTATAATCCCTAACAGAAAAAACCCAAACTGAAATATCTGAGGTAGACCTTTGCTAGCTACCTAACCGCATGTCATCTCACTGTGACTCTTCATTTCCCGCTCTTGATTGTAATTATTTTTCTTCGTATAACCTTATTGTTGCTTGTGTTGGTGTCGGCAATGTAGCCCAGCTTGCATGTGATCTTTTAATCTATAACTTAGGTTGTGATGTTATTTGTAGTTTAAATTTTGAGTACTGCCCATCCGTAGTCGGCATCAATCCTTACCGATTGCCTGGAGATGTTCATGATATGATGACAACTTCACAGGTATATATATATTTTTTCTGAGTGTTATATGATATATACAAGTTTTACGGTAATCTAATGTACTAAATTCATAGTTGATCTAACTTCAACTATTCTGTGTCATAATGAACACAGTTTATAAGATTTAAAGCTGACTAAGCAGCTCAAACCTTGAACTGTTAGGAGGAATCAGTGAATAATTTGTCCTTCAAGATCTGTGTCTGGGTACTCAAAGATCATTCTTGATCATGGAAAGGTATAACTTTTTATGTTCCTTGTACAACTGAAGGGCAAAGCAAGTTAGTTAATAATAGCGAGACTGATCACCCTCATGACCTACTCAGCTCATGTGAACCTGGAGCCTCCCTTCGAAGGACTCTGTGGAAGGTGTCTTTAACATTGCATCTGGTTAATATCTCCACAATCTACTGATTTTAGCTACAAAAATATCCGTACAGGTCTTCTGTGTCAACATGTATTTCCAAAATGAATACACTTTTAAGTCTAGTATTTAAACTTCGTAGTGGTCTGTTATGTTTAGAGGGATCATGAGCGACATGAATCGTAGTGATTATTCCCCCTGAATCCTTCTGTACTACACAGACTGCAAACTTAAAGCTTCCATGCGAGCTAAGTGCAGTTCGTTCTTTTGGTTCGCATACATTTTTGATTCCCCTTTTTTGAGCACATTACAAGAGGATGATAGGTTGATGATAAATGATCCAAGAACCGTTTTGCAAATGAGGTCCTAAATAAACAATAAGAAAGGTTTTAAGTCATCCCGAAGTTAGTCTATAAAGAAAATCCAAGATGGTATTCAATTTTGCTGCAGAATCCCAATGGGAAGAAGCAGGTATTTTTGAAGTAAAAAGTGGTACTAGAATCACCCCGAAATTACGTGACCGATACAGTTCCACTACTATTCACCATTATCACCCTTCGTTTGCTGCTACTGAAAGGACGGTTTCTATTGGTATAGTCACATAACCTATTTAAGTTTTTGTAATGAAACAAAATATCATTTGGATCTAGCGTCTCTCTCAAGTTCTAAAATCATCTCCATATAATAGATTCTAAGGGCCTGTAGTGATAGGCAAATCTTTAAACAATGGGAGCATAATCCTTAGGATTTCACTCTGTTGTACTTCACTCGTCATTGAAAACTAGTTAGATATGGCAAAGCAAACTCTGACAGCTAATGATCTCCCCTATAAGTAATCTGAAAGTCACTAAGCACCCGATAGTTGCTGCTAATCCCGGTTTCAGGTGAGCGATTCGATAATTAACTTTATTGAATATCTCCATAAAAATTAGTAAGGTCATGTGCATAGGTTGAATGTACTCCAATGAGATGGTACATTTATTCTAAACAGTTAACAGGCCTGTATCACGTGATCTATGTAAGAGAATTCCATGTTGTGGTTAAAAAACTTTACAGTTATTGAATAGATAGTTGTTTATGGGTTCTTGAATTCTTCCATGACTTACTCCGAAAGGCTAAGAAATTAGTTCACAATTGGAAGTTCCTATCTTGCTGTTTACGTCACAGTCAAATAAGAATACTAGTTCTCATTCAGTCGTTTTATTAGCATCACCTGCTTTTTGTCAATTATTATTCCGAAACAAACTATATTTAAAGTGTTCAGTTAATAAGGTTGGTCACTACCTTTGTAATGGACGGCCTATATAGACGATACACACAACACCCCACGTGTGTTGTTGACTTCTTAATGATCACAGTTTCACCTTAGTTTGTTTAACAACATAAAGCATCCTATCCCAAACTTTTGGGAATTTCACATCCTGTTTTAATCTAGCCCACGTTACAAAAACTAATATGACAGATCCATAATTAATTAATTTCAAAGTTTTTGAGACATATTACTAATGCGTATATCTTTATTTTTCCAAGATATGGTTTTTCTTAAGATCTTATATGTTCGTACCCCTTTAGAAATGTTCTAAATTATTTTCAAAGCGAAGAGTGTAATCTTTGAAGAATGAGAACTTTCACCATTAAATAATCTATGGCTACTCCACTAGTGCATCCATTTCGTTTTTATATATCGAGACTTTTCTAGGTCGTGAAATTCATCACACTAATGTTATATTTTCCCGGAAAATGACGACTCATGGGTCGTACATCAATTTAGGCTCCCGCTCATTTGTACCCTTACCATAGCAAGGATCAGTAAAGAATTCTTCAATTTACGTAAGCACCTTAAAACTTTGCGTTTGCGATTCCTTAATCTGGATTGTTTACCACAAATGAAAACTATTTGTTCTTCTCTTTTGAAGATTTATGCTAATCCTGAACTTCACCTAGCTGTGTTACAAATTCGAGCCCCTCCCTTCACCGGTTCCAAACGAAAGCATGTCAAGGAGCTTGTGACCTTCCTGAAATCTATGAAGTTTAAAACTGTGGTTTTACTTTCAAGTAGCTTTGCGACTATTCTTAAAGTAAGTTGACTATTTTCTATCTAAATCCTATCAATTACTGAACATTCTTGACAGTTGGTGTTTACTCGTATTTAAAAACGTAAGCTAGAAACTTATTAAGATAGCGTGATATGGTTTTCCTCGTGTTTTCGAGTAAATGACTAATATATTAAACCAACTGTTATGTGCGTTGACCCCAACAGTCTTTATTTGAGCATTTCAATCACACACTAGCCCCGTACACGCAGTCAGGCATTTGCATACATCCCAAAAATTGACGCTTTCCCTGAAGACAGTTTTTTTTATGGGTACATGCTAAACTACACTATGATATCTGCAAACTTCAGGTTAATAAGGTTTCTCTAAATCTAGTGAATTGCCATACATTCAAAGGAAGAAAGTGTTGTTTCTGAGAACATTTTGAGCACAAAATCTGATAATATTACCGAACATGAACATCGCTGATAGTTGCTTAGTACAATCATTTCATGTAAACATTCGTCGTAACTTCCAATTCGAATAATGGTATTCACATAAAGGGCTTTTGATAACTTACAGTGTTCTTTTTATGCTCCTTTCAACAACAGTCTCTATTACAACCTCAGCCTGCGGGTTCAAGTGTCATTTTCACACGTATGATTACAATTAGATGTCGATATTCCTTTCTACACACCACAACTTGAGGGGAAAACAGCCAGTAATGATACATCAATTTTATAACATGCCTGATCTTCCCGGTTTCCTGTTCACAAATTCTTAAGCGTGACAGCAGTAAAAGTCGACATATGGTTATTCTTCAACCGAAGGGTAAACTATCTGGTTTTTCCACATCAATATGTGTCTACGATATCAACTGCTACATTGAGCGTACAGTCACACAACTAAGTCGAGTCAGTGAACACCTTTCGGGGTTAATTAAAGAGTTTGATCAAGATAACGTACATCTTCCTGTTACAGTTGGTCGATAGCAGTCATGTAGAAGATAAAAACAAATCATTTAAAGTAGTTAATCGTATATCCACTACCTTTCCTTATTAGATTTGATCTTGTCTCTTACACTTGACAGAAGCTACGGGGATCCGAACTAACAACCTGTGTATTTATGAAGACTTTTCCATGCCCTTATCTCTTCCCTCACCTTTTGTTAAATGAACACTTCGTTGTCTAATTATCTAAACACTACGTAATTTTATAGTTAGTAGTAAATACTATTTGACCTACTTCCTACTATAGAACACTGACTGAACCCTTTCCTATCCGTATCACAACTAGTACACCAGTTATCACAAACAATTTGTACTTTTTACCTACTGTTTATTTTCGTAATCCATTCCAATGTTATCGCTGACTCATAAACTGCCTTGATTAGTTTGTGAATTTCATATGTCCATACAAATATTCTTATACATTATATTGAAGCCCGACAATTAAAAGGAATATTGCTCGCTTATTTACATTCTAATTCGCAATACAATAATTTCTACTATATTTTTAGTCACACAAAATTAAGCAACAGACATGTGATGAATGGGATAAGAAGGGCACACACATATACTATACGCTCATATAAAAGCAGTCAAGATTGACAAGCGAATAATTATCAAGGTCAAAATGTGACCCAAGTAGAATGAGTAGATTGGCCTGTCCGAAAGCTAGAATAAGGTATATGGGCTTAAAATAATAACCGGCACTACAATTTTAATGATAAAAGTTGCTATCTTGAAGAGTTTACTTCTCTGTAGTTATCTGATAAAAACACGCTCAACCAAAATAATTAATAAACGGTGGGCACCATCCTTCCAGAAAACTGGGACTACTCCATCTCAGCGCGTCTCTTCCCCTTGCTTCAGTTACTTTTAGCTTCAATAAGAATTATTCTTATAAAATGACTATCTGTAATCCTTTTTTACAACAGATTTAACACAGTCACCCATAATTCTATAGTCTTGTATGCCACTCATCTCTTTCACTTCTCCCGTTCGTTTTACAGGATGAGGAGCTAAACTCAGCACCACTGCAGTATGCTTTGTCGTCGTCATTCTGCGCTTCTGATCGTAAACACTTTGATGAACTGGATTGGTATCCCCTTAAGACGTACAGTGACCACCTAGATTGTCAATTGTCTGTTGTTTATTATTTACCTGGGTGTGGAATTGCAAGTTATTTATTTGAAGAATTACTCAAACATGAAGAGATATCTGCTTGTCTGTTAAATCTTTTTACATCCGAAGGCGATAACAGTGGCGATGCACTTTATGTTGTGCAGCATTTGAATAAGTGGTTACAATTCAAAGCACAACACGGAGTTAAAGACACAAGTTTCCAATGGTCTCTCCCCCCTTCTTGGAGCTATTTGTTTGGAACTGATCCTGTTGATGAATTGTATTAGACTTCTATTAAATATTTACAAAAGATTAGTTTTCTAGCATTTCAGGTTTTCTGACGAATGAAACTTTTCGCTAGGAATTTTTATGAATTCATGAGTTCATAGATTTAAGTTGTTCATCAAATGAAAAAGCTAAGCAATGACGGTAAATATGCTAAAAATTCGGATCTATAATTTCGAAGTTCAGAATTATTATGAAGGCCTAATTTCATTCAATAACACTCAGTATACAGGTTTATTTGTATTTAGTAACAAGTACAACTTGTGTGTGACTTTTATAATCAGTTTTACCTTCTCAATTACTTAGAAAATTTATTGTACATAACCTTAGTTTTCCTGCAGCAGGATAATTCGGAAAACATGGTGATATTGTTGTTTAATTTTGTGACGTTCATAGATTATAGGCATCAACGAGTGACGTGTTCGTTTGAATAACCAGAGAGAAGTCTATTTAGCGGTTCCACTAATTTAAGCATTCTTGAATCAGAGTATCATTATCTATCAAGTAAATACATGTTGAAAATTCCCATTTTGCCATTTGGTTAATAAAGAAGAAACGAATTGAGCGAAATTTCTTTTTAATTAGTTTTTCATCATGGCTCTACACTAATATATATATATGATTTACAATAATGATATAATACTCATCGAGTGGATACGTCATGTAATAATTACATAATGACATTAAAATTAACGTTTCGTAATATATGAAAAGAGAAGGAACAGAATTTTATAATGGATAGTCAATAGAATTGTAGTTACGTAAGAATCAAAAGATGAATGTTGAGGAAATATGAAGTTCGAAAATAACAAAAATAAGATTTTCCAGTTTTTCAAAGGAAATATCCGCTTAAAAGCACAATTAGCCATTGACCAATTTATTATCGCTATATAGACGATACTTTCATAGTATTAGAAAAAGAACATGATAAGGATAATATATTTAATAACGTTCATCAACCATTTAATTTTACAACAGAAGATGAACAGAACAATAGCATATCATGTTCAACTGACTGGAAGAGCAGACGGAACTTTAAGATGAGGGGTATACAGAAAGTCTGCAACAGGACAATACACTCATTTCTACAGTGCAGTTCCAATCAGATACAAAAGGAACTTAATAAAAATCATGACTCATCGTGCCAGAATGATTTGCTCGGAAGACACCATTGAAGATGAATTGGTTAATATTCGAAACTTCCTTAGTACGAATTGGTACCCTAGGAAATCCATCGACAAACACATGATGGAGATGAAAACAAGAACAAAGATACCTACCGTCCCTAAGAAAGTACTGTTCATAAATGACACCACTAAAGAAATCGTGACTCAGAAACTAAGAGCTGTACAAAAAACACTTAATGCAGCCTGATTAAATGTTATCTTCTACAACCACCTCAAAATAAGAACGGCCAATAAAGACGGACTGCCTGAATTCGCCAAATCCATGTGCATCTATCGGTCCAACTGCTCCTATGGAGCCAGTTATATAGGGCGTACAATTCGGCAAGTTCGTTATCGTATTACAGAACGTCATCCGCCGTGATTAAACAAATGACAGGTAAAAGTGATTCTCCCTCACTTGGTCGACACAGGTCATCAAGTTGAATTGAATAGAACTTTTAAGGTTAACTACAATATCCCATCAAATTTGCTGCATGGTTTGCGAGTGCGCCTTTTGCACATCGCGGAAGCCATCGCAATCCATGTTCACAAACCTGACCTTTGCATTCAAAAGAGATTTGTACAACCAATTTTGTTGCCTTGGCCATCGGTATAAGATTTTCTTCAGCAGAACCATTTTTCATAAATCTTCCACTCTTTTTAAAATCCGTTTTTGTTACTTTTGAACTTTATATTTCCTCAACATTCATCTTTTGATTCTTACGTAACTACAATTCTATTGACCATCCATTATAAAATTCTGTTCCTTCTCTTTTCATATATTACGGAACGTAGCAACTTCTTGATTTAATAATTACTTTGAATATTAATAATCCTCTTTCTCCCAATTACTCAATGTTAATTTTAATGTCATTATGTAATTATTACATGACGTATCCACTCGATGAGTATTATATCATTATTGTAAATCATATATATATTAGTGTAGAGCCATGATGAAAAACTAATTAAAAAGAAATTTCGCTCAATTCGTTCCTTCTTTGAGTACATGTTACCGTACTATTTTTTACTCAAAATTATCGCTATAAATGATCACTTAGAATTATATGATTGTATACAGTCTAAACTTACTTAATCATTAAACACGAATATTGACCCAAGTGGGCACCAAAATAAATGTGCAACACAAATGAAAGAATGAATTTATGAAGGAAGTATGGTCAAATAAATTGAAGGAAACTAGAATTTCAAATCATCAGCAGAGAAGGGTTGATAAGTTCGTTAAGTTTAACAATACTATCTGTATTGAAAGTCAAATGCTTTCTACAGTCTCGTTAGATAGCTCCACGTTATCCAGTTGTATCACCATTTACTATACGGATCGTTGGATCGAAATTAGAACATGCGTGCATCTCCCAGTAGATCCAAAATTTGAACTCAGGTTTTACCAGCCGATCAGTGTGAGCAGGCTTCACAGATTGATTGGCTTAGCTTTTGCATACACATGTATATTAATGGGTTACATTCTACGACTAACTGAAATAAATTCAATAAATAAAGTTTGTTACAAGAAAGTTCAGTATTTAACCGTTATTGATTATTAACCGGATCAAATTATCCAAGTGTAAATGCAATTGGTACAATCACAGAATATTTAATAAACGATGTTTACAAGACAACATTACCCCTAAATCTCTTGTTATAAAACCTCCAGAACGGTCCTGAAGATCTATCCAGACTTCGCAACACGCGTCTCGAATATTCTTACGAGAACGCATTCACAAATGCACACATTTACTAGAAAAATATCGTGAACGAATCAAAAACCTTGATGATTTACTGAAGCTTTTAATCCCGACCGAATTACAAACCACGATATCCAACCTGTTTATAGAAAGAGAACGCCACTATTTAAATTCATCGAAACACCGACAAATTAAAAAACTCGAAAACATCAGAGAAAAGATGAGAAAACATCAACAATAAAATACAATTCGAATGATCTAAGAAGAACTGTTCATAATCTCTCTAACAGAAACTTAAACAGTCACGAAATCACTCTACTAGAGAAGGGATTAAATTTCAATGTACACATAAAACCACTTAGCTCTCTTGAAATTGCTCCAATTATAGAACCAATGATCACACAACTACCCGAAAAAGAGTCGCATTTACTACGTCAAAAGACATCCCATATTCTGACTAAACAAAAACACATTACACCAAACATTTCAAAAGAAGAACTGAAGGCTCTGCATTCACTTAAAAAAGACAAAACGATTAACATCACAAAAGCCGACAAAGGCAACACAACAGTAATCATGAATAAAAGATTATATTAATAAAGCTCTTGAACATCTCTCAACAGGACCTTATGAAAAGATCAATCCAAAAACTTCTCTAACAATTAAGAATAAAGTCAAATTAGAAACAAATCAACTTCTGAACGAGCTAAAACCAATCATTGGGGTCTCGCTTTGGTTTGCGTTGCATCCCGAATCATGTAATGTCTCACGGTTTTATGGCTTACCAAAAATTCATAAACCAGATATTCCTCTAAGACCGATAGTAGACTTCACAAACACCCCAACATATGCATTATCAAAATATTTAAGCATTATATTAAAACCACTACAACTCAACTTACATAATATAATTAAAGACACATATGACTTTAAATCAAAATTATCCGGATTAATCATCGAGAAGAATGAAATCATGGTAAGCTTTGATGTCGTTTCTTTATACACAAGTGTTCCCATTGATAAATGCTTAGAATTCATTTGTGGTTTACTTGAGAACGACAATACTCTTCCTGACAGATGTCCGTTGAGCATCAGTCTAATCATGAAATCCTTAAAAATTTGCTTAAATTCAACGCTGTTTACTTTTAACGGTATGTTATTCAAACAAACTAACGGTGTAGCAATGGGATCCCCCGTGTCCCCGATTGTAGCCAACCCTTTTATGGCATACATAGAATCAAATATCTTCGCCCACAACATTATACCACGAATTTGGGTTAGATATGTAGACGATACATTTGTTGTTATAAAAAAGACTCATCTAAGATCTTTTTCAAAACGAATAAATACACTTTCATCGCACATCAGATTCACGAATGAAAATGAAAATGTACATGGTGAGCTACCATTCTTGGATTGCTTAGTAAAAAGAAATTCAAATGGAAGTCTAAACCTATCCATTTACCGAAAACCGACACATTCAAATCGTTATATTGACTTCCATTCAGCACATCCTTTCAGTGCAAAGATCTCGCTAGCCTTGATTCTTTTTAGAAGAGCTAACAAGATCATCACATCAGAGGAAGACAAACAAAAAGAACAAATGAATATAGTTAGCATCTTACAATTTGATAATTTTCCTATGGAGATTATTAGAAGCATATTAAAACAAAACAATTTATTACATTATAATAATGATTCGAATGAAATGCCATGGATTGGTACTGTAGTTCTACCATACCGTCATGGCACAACAGAAGAAATCCAAAGAATCTTAAAACATCACAGAATCAAAGTGTATTACAAAACAACGGACACACTACGTAATACTTTAGTTCTCCTGAAAGACAAAATCCCTTTCATGTCCACACAGAACTGCGTCTACAAATTAGGTTGTATTGATTGTGATGCCTTCTATATTGGAGAGTCATCCCGCGAAATCGTGACTAGAGCCAAAGAACATATTAGGTACACAAAGAAACCTCCTAACAATCCTGTAGAATTGAACCAACTTCAAATTAAATCGGCAATAGCAGTTCATGCCATTTTCAACAACCACCAAAATGGATTTTAAAAATATCAAAATATTGCAAAAAGGCTTTTCCAACTACAAAGAAAGGAGGGTAGCTGAGGCGTTCCATATAATGCTTAATCCTACTTCTCTCAATAGAAAGGAAAGTCTTACCATACATCCTACTTGGACCATCTATCCTGGCCATTCAGTCTGATCGTATTTACAATTTCACACTATCATATTACAAATTTAAACTCTATACTTTCTTACTATAAAGGTCACACAAGTTTTCGTTCTTAAACAATGCACATGTACATACACACAAATTTACATACATATCACTTATGAATCACCTTGACAGAAATGACATGACACCAGCTTGTTCAAACCTATTTTTGATTAATCAAATATTATTCTTGCATTGTTCCGTTGTACTATTTAAACTTGGATTAATTTTAATTTGGTTATTTATTCTCTAAAGAAGTGACTTACACTAAGTCACGAAACGTCAGAAAATCCAATTTTCTACTCATTTGGGATATTACAAATATATTATTTTTATTTATAACAATCAACCCAATGCTTAATTTATTCGAAATTATCAAATCAAACCTTGGTAATGACACCTACGTTATTGATTATTGCTCAGGATGGTATTTCTTGCTTGTAGGATGCGAACCGGAAGACCAAATTGGCCATTACTAAATAAGAGTTAAGTGAATATTATGATTGGTGAAACTGATAGATATTTCTTTACTGATGCACTTGTATGACGGTTGGTGAAGCAACTATTATAAAGTATCCCTGATCAATTTCAGTTCCCCTAAATCATTCTATACATCAGTTTTAGTCGGTCAAGTGAATTACGAATTAAGACTCTATGATTATGCAAACGAATTGTACACTAGCACATCGCGACAGAACTTTCCGGGCAGATCCCAAAGTAGTAACAGTATCAGTGGTAGTAGGAAACATGTTGTAGAAAAAAGGGAAACAGTGTAATTTTGGAACTCAAAATATGAAAAAAGACAGGGAATGCTTCTGTAACAATGTGATCGATTATGAGCCTTGTCATTTAACGTCTCCAAGCACGTTACGATGGTCGTGTGGACCACAGTTACGTGTTCTGCCTCCACTCACATGGCTTAGTCCAATTTTCAACGACTTTATAGTGTTGTCATCCGGGAATACTAACTGATATCACGTGTTGTATTGTCCAGTCAGAATTCGGACTATGGTTTTATCGATCTAGCTTCTACTATTCCATTTATAGCTTACTATCCTATACTCGACCAACTGGACTTTTGACCTGCACTGTTAACTTTGAGCAGACGTAAGATAAACTCACATTCTTCCGCTATACTCAAATTTTTCTGTTTTTCTTGTCTTTATTCCTAGAGAAAGGTTAGCAGCCAGTTTCTATTATTATCAGTTAATTCATGACTCAAAAATAATGGAATGATGTGGAGTAAAATCTTGACGACATATCAACATTATTAAGAAATTACAATATCGGTACGACTATCCCGTTGGTGGAAGACAAGTGAGCAATAGATTTGTAATAAATTAACAGTAAATTAGGAGTTACAATATATAATAACGATTTACGCATCGTGAAAAAGGTTACAAGCAAGAGAATACAATCATTTGGGCATTTAACAAACAAAAAAATCTAAAAGTTTCGAAAGTTTAACTTTTCCAGTACTCGCTCGGTTATAACATAGATTTGTGCAGCATTCATGTTTGGCCATCCCTAAACTTCTTCCAGTTTGCCCCTACACCTGTTGAGCTGAAAGTGGCTGGCCATACATAATGCACATATACCAACCATCTGTCGAGAAAGATTCACTGCCACATCAGTCGGTTCACTACCATATATCTAACCTGAACATTACTCAGTCGTTTCAACATATATGAGCGGTACTTTGAAGCAACCTATGAATGAATAATAGTGTCCTATGAATATCAGTCAGCTACAACGTAGGACCAGGCACATATATAAATCGGTTCAAGTTGCCACACCTCATTAGTGCAACAAGATGATCATCGAATTCATAGTAGTTATTTCAATGATAGTAATATATAAAAGATTGTGTATAAGGACATAATTAGTCAGTCAGCAAAACTTCGTACGTACGTACATCAGCTCAAGTTGCCATATCACATTAGCACAGAGATACAATTGTCGATTCAAATCCCATAGTGGTAGAAGTAGTAAGAGTATGAGTAGTAATCGGAAAGACTAAGGTTTGAAGATGTTATTCAAAGAGTATAATCCAGTGAAGTAAATTTGAGAAGAGAAAAAGGACACGAAGACAAAGGTAAAAAGCAATTTCAGTCTCCCGATTTAAGGGGAAACAAAGAGTGTATACACTTACACCATCGTGATCGGTTCTGAGCCATGTCACATAGTCTCCAACCATTGTTTACGATAGGAGCTTACGGGTATCTTCTACTTTTAATGGCCACGTTTAGCAGCCGTAAATTAGAACAGAACGAACTGCTGCGCAATATACTTGTCCCTTAATTGATAGACGAATATCTCTCTTTCGCTATAGGTGACGTAATTAAGCAAAAGCCGAATGAGCCTTTTAAATCCGTGCAGAAATTTCGTCAGCACATTAGGGCTGACCAGAGTCCCAAGATAAGTGAAGTTGTCAATGCGTTCGACTACTTCATTCCCTATCCTTAGTTCAGGTGTTGACGCAGACCAGTCCTGCAGTAACAACTTGAATTTAAAGGGTGAGAAACGCAACCCAAACATCTTGGTATTGTTGCTCAATGTCGTCTATTCTTGGTGGATATCTTTCACAACCATTAAGTAGAACATAACGAACTGGCGAGCAGTAAATTCATAGTTAACTTGGCAGATGGACATTCCGTCCACACCACAAGTGGTAAGTTGAGAAACGCATTTGCGATTTTGTCAGATGCCGACTCATCAGAGCTTATGTGACTTTCAAGGTAAGTAAAGTGGTCGACACACTCAACTACTTCACTCACCATCATTAGTTCAGGCGGTGATGCATACCAGACTCGGAGCGACTTTTGCATTTGTGATACAGTTTAGCCGAGTGATAGCTACTCACAAGATTGAATTGCTGATGTATCCGTCCCCAATTAAAGTGATATCAAAAGACGAGAGTAATCCGTTAGAATACCTTCTTTAAAAACATGCTTGAATACACAATGTTAACAGGATAATAATCACGCACAAATGTAATACGCGATTAAAGATAGTCCGTTTTAGAGGTCTCTCACACTCCAATCAACTACGCGCTTTCCCTTCTTGTCAGAATTAGGTCTACGAATATTGAATAATAACAGAACCACACATTAATAGCGCTAATTTATAGTACAGCCTTAAGCTCGACTGTAGAAAACGGAAAGTTGTTCTGATTCAATCTCAGTGCTGCTTTCCTACCTCAGTTTAATACTAAAGAAGTAAATGAAATGATATCCTACTCAGGAGTGGTAATTGGGAATGAGTCTGAAGCCGCGGCGTTTGGAGATGCTCACAGTCTTACTGATAAAACCATTCATGCAGCAGCCAGGTATATAGCTGACTTACCATTTGTTGATGGAAAAAAGCGTAAACGATTGGTCATTGTAACACAAGGGAAAGATCCCATAATATATACGGATTCTACTGACCCTACCGTTCATCAATATGTTGTAGAGCAGTTGAAAGACGAAGAAATGGTAGATACAAATGGAGCTGGTGATTCCTTTGCCGCCGGATTTATTGCAGATTATATACGTGGTAAGCCAATGATCACGTCGCTGCAGTCCGGTGTGAGAGCTGCAGCCTATATTATACGTAGATCTGGCTTTTCTTTAGGTTCGAGAGAGTCTAGTGCGTTCAAAATAAATTTATAAAACAGAACCAAACTTACCTTAATTATCTCTAGTGCCATATTAAATAAGCATGGAACTCCTGGTAAAATGAAGATATTTTTCACTTTGACAATAGGATAAGAGCTTTCATTATCCATCTGGATTCCTGTTGCATATAGTAATTCAGATGACTCCGGTATTTTGGCAAGTTTGGTTATGGGGTCTGAAGAGGAAATCATATTCGGTTCTGATAGTCTCCTGAGGGTTTGTAAGAACTTTGGATGAATGATAATCTTTTCATTTAGTGCCTTTGCAACACCTTCATATGTCACATCATCGTGAGTAGAACCTATACCCCCCGATGTTATTACATAGTCGTAACGGTTCATATAGTTGCGAACTTCCTCTGCAATAGCATCTGAGTCATCGGGAATAACAGAAATCTACATTAGGGTGTTATCTGTGCACTTAAGTTACCTTCCGAAGTCGTACACCAAAAAGCGGGGCAGTGAGGCATACTTGTCGTGAATTGGAATCTTTTGCTTTTCCATTCAGTATTTCGTCACCGATAACTGAAATTAGTTGTGGTTAAGGGAGATCTGTGAATAAACTAATCACTTGCAACAAATATTTTCTAGGTGTGACAAAGTCTCAAGTCCGGTGGCAGACACTATCTAAGAAGAATGTACAGTTTCTTGATGTGGGTTCGTGTAGCTCGTGAAATATGTGTCATCGGGATAATGCGTGCCTAGCGTTCCATAGTTAGAGCGAATCTGTGTATATAACAATGGGAAACCTTAAGTTTCACGAGATATGAACCTGTGTCGATCAATATACTGTAGGAACAAGCTAGTTCGACTATTGGGAGGATTGTATATCTGAGTAGCTAGGTACATTTTGAGGACATGTGGTAAGTTTTGGATTTCCGAAGTCAAACAGAGCATGCTAAAATATTTGGTCACTGATGTAACTATATTAGGAAACTAGGTAGTCAATAGGAGAAACAGCTCTAAACAGTGCAATAGCTCGGCATATAATTCATACCGAGCATACCACCAATATTCCATAATCCTTTCAAATCGTTAGCAGAAAAAAACAAGTAGGGTCTCTCCGGTTTTCCGAAGCACCAACAATAAAAAAATTAAAACCTGACTTGTTTATCCACAATGAGACAATAATCAACTTATTTCTACCATGGTAAAATATTTCTTTTATTATCATCATTTTATTAGCGTTTATTTTGTTATGTGGTCTTCGCTAAACTAACTCTTATTTTATGTAAACTAAAATTATCCGTTTATTCGTGTGGTCTTTATTCACTTAATGCTCCTGTGTAAACTTCAAATCCTGTTCAATTATTACATAACCTGCCTTATTAACTTCTAATTCCTGTAATTATATTTAAACCCTTCAACACCTGAAATTATCACAGTCTTATCTGTCTCCGGACCTCATTTAATTACTGCTCATTCCCTCCTCGAATGATTTTGAATTCCATCTTCCAATGAACTCACACCTGTCATTTTACAGATATATATATAGTATTGGCAATACTTGTCATTTTAATTCTTCCCGTCATCAAAGTCTAATGTTTCACATTATATCATACCTTAATGCCAACTTTTACTACATATATGGTTGTAAGCAGCTGATGCTAAACCACAAAATATAATGAATTCATATTCTGCCTCAATCGTTGTTTTAGCTTTATTCAAACTAGTGAAGAACATTAGGGCTGACAAGCGGAAATATGTAGGAGACCTGAGAACGGCAGCAGAAAAGTTTGCAAAAGAAGGAATTATATAAGAACTACATGATACTATTAAAAAGCCAGTGGGGAAAGAAAAGCAGTACACAGACCTCCCTACAGATATTGCTTCACCAACAGCAAGAGATATTAGCAAGGCAACCATATAAACCAGTAATGCCAAAGTACCATAGCCAGAGAGCATACCAGGTGAAACCACTAAGGAGTACCTGAGATAGTCACCGCCATACGGAACTCCTATGAGCCTTCATTGGAAAGTCGTGTATGGAGGACAGCTCACTGATGCATTCTCAGTGTACACTTGTTTTAGATAAGACTGCCTACTCTCACCTGTTCTTTTTGTGCTAGTTGCTGACTAGAATATGAAGACCTCCACAGTTCATGATAAGCACGGAATACAATGAGGACTGAAGGCGTAGCTGAGTGATTTTAATTCTGCAGATGAATCGGCCTTCCTGTCCTATACACAGCGGTAAACAAGAACGAATACAGCTAGTGTAGAAGATTTCGCAGAAATAAGCCTCAATATTAACAAGGAAAGAAGCACGAACCTAAAGTATGACACAGAGTAGCATGTTAGCTCAACCTATGTCGGTTTCCTTGACGAAGTGGGGATTATTGTCTCTGTGTAGTAGTGCTACTGAGTAGCAATTGGAAAGGAAATCTCGAGACAAAGTCCCTTGGAGGTTTACAGCTAGTGACGTATGTAGGCAAATACCTCTTGAGATGAATAACAGGGTTACGCTATAAGTAGAAAAAACCACTGAAGTGAGGAGGAACGTTACGACACTACTATTTAGGACCATGTTAGCGCTAATCTGTTTTCTGCATTATGCTCAGTGGGTGAGACTGTAATTTGTGAACACCCCGTGAGCGATGCTAAAATGATCTTGGGGAAACTCTGTCACTTGCTAAGGTCAAATGAGGGTTATACATTAGTGGCGAAACATGATTGCGATCTCCAGATAGACAGGTTTATTGCTCAAATATAAGGTTATTATTACGAAATGACATCAGCAATAATGCCAAAATAATATGTAAGCAAACAGATAAGTGAAATTCTTGCAACAATCCAACGACCAACTCAAATCTCGTAAGTCATAGTTCCACTGTGCAACACTAAGCGGATAGAGTCGCTTTCAGTTACTGAAAAGGTTAGAACATCTTTGGACCGTACAATTAGATACCTATGAGACCGAGGGATTTGGGAGATACCATTTTTAGCGCGCAAGACATAGTAGTCACACACCGCGCCATGACCTTCAGCTGGACAGCAGACCCACATTGGAGAAGACCGAAGGCCCAGAGGCCTGTGTTAATCATGCTAATTGTGTTGTCTCAGTTTATCTGACTTTCTTTTGAAGGAGTCAACAGATGTGGCTTCAGTCACGTGTTACGGTAACTAATTCCTATTAACGATGATCCAAGGTTAGTTTCAGTTTCAGTTTCCGTTTCGTAAGGACGAGAGGCTTGGTAGCTTCTGTTAGTCCTGGCAATGGTGATCCCTCAGTTGATCCAACTTTCTTTCGAAAGGGTCGACCGATGGAGCCTCAATCACATGCTGAGGTAATGAATTCCACGCGTTGATGATTCGATGTGAAAGTCGATAGTCAGCTGACAAGTAGTTTGTTCTAGACTTGTGAACATTTTTGAGTGTCCTCGTAAATTCTCTGCTTCGGAAGTCAAGAAAATGAGGGCATATCAGGTGCAGATTTATCACTAAGTAATTTGAAAACTATGATTAAGTCGCCTCTAGTTCTACGATATGACAACGGGAATAGGTTTAGCTTGGCCAGTCGAGCATCATAAGGAAGCTTCGCTATTCCGGGAATCAGCTTAGTTTCTGTTTTCTGAACCTCTTCCAAAGGCTCATTCTTTTTAAGCAGGGGCTAGCCGCTTGTATGCAGTACTCAAGTTTAGGACGTACAAACACAGTCTACAAATTCAAAGAAGTTTTAGCGTCGACACGGCTAAAAGATCTAGGTATTGACCATAAGGTTCTAAAGCCTTTGGCGGCTATCGCACGGCAGTGTGCAGTAGTCTTTTAGTCTTGGCTAACGATGACTCCTAAGTCATTATGTGTCTGGACAACATGTAGCTCAGTGTTATTCATGGTGTATGTATCCGTACCTTGATGACCGATATGCATCACAACACACTTGGAAGTATTTATCGGCAACTACCAGGTTTGAGACCATTCAGATCATTTCTTCAGGTCATTTTGGAGTTCTAAGCTACCACCCTTACATCGTATCGTTCTCCGTACTTTGACATCATCAGCAAATAGCAAGAGCGATGATGATAGGAGACGAGGAAGGTCATTTACATACAAGAGGAATAGCACTGGCCCCAAAACTGTACCCTGATGCACCCCACTAAACAAAGTTTCTCAGCTAGATAACTTTGAGTTCACCCGTCAGAGGCTTTGCTGAAATCAATATGGGCTACGTCTACTGGTAACTTTTGGTCCTTAAAAGCGCATCAGATTTCACGAGCGACTAATAAGTTAGTGAGACGAGTTTCTTCTGTAGCCCGTTTTCTAAATGGTATCCAGCAGGAAACGCCTAGAAGCCGCAGTCGCAATGCTCGATCGGCTTCTAGCGGGAAACATAACCTGACCTCCCAAATCGTCGACAACCCTCCGGAATCCCACAGTATTATTAACGCAACTGTGGTTGCTTCTCCTAGCAGCGTTGACGAGTGGGAAGGAAGAAACAACATAGCGATATAAAAGGGAATCCTGCTGCCACTAAGTTAGCCGGGAAATCGAAGGCTGATCACAGTGACAGATCAGTTATTTTTCATAGAATGAAGGAGAGTGAAAGCTCTGAACCAAAAACTCGATTTCGGCATGACATTGTGCTGATATAACAGCTACTTAATCAACTCATGCCTCAAAATATCCCCGGAGTCACCTTACTAAAGGTGTACAGACTAGGTAGTCTAGCGAACTTGAAGCCTAGTCAATACAGCATATAGTCAGCTGACAAGTAATTTGTTTTGAGTGTGAATGTTTTTAGAGTGTCCTCGCAAATTCTCTGTTATGAAAGGGACAAAAAGTAAGAGTATATCAAATGCAAATTAATCGCTAAGTAACTTAAAGACGTTCATCATATCACCTCTAGTCCCTCTTGTAGCGGTAAACACATCCACAAAATAAATAGCTCCGTAAGTTTTCGACATTGGATGCTGACCACATTAGTTTTAATGGACTCACCTAGCTAAAGGTGTTCAGTGATACATCCGCACCAGATCACGAGTGGGAACGCCATGCTCAACATTCCCTGCAATTGCTAACCAGATTAGACCACACGATCCTCGATATATTGATAGCCTATCAAATATATCTTCAAGCCTACTCGCTTCTGTCCATTGATTTCACTTGGTGGGTACGCTTCATATTAGAAGGTGTTACTGGTTTAGGCGTTGTCAAACTCCGAATGCTTGTGACATCTTTATTAGTGAACCCAACGTGATCTGGTTCACCTGATTGCAAACTGTGAGTCTGTTCCTTTTTGGGATTTTATGTATCATTGCGTTATTTTAATTTTTTATACATTGTTATGCTTTTTTCCGTATATTTGGATATATATTTCTCATTCGTTCATTCTCGTACTCGATATTTCACCATGACTAAACAGAAACTCAAGGTACGTAAGCTAAAGACGATGTCCCCACCTTCGTTCCAACTAACGCCCTTCTGGCCAGACAACACCAAAGCCTGGTTCTGCTACACAGAAGCCGACTCCTGCGAGCACGGCGTGATCGACACACGTGTACAATTCCTCGCATTAGTCAAGGCACTACCGCGTGAATTCAACAGGTACGTAACACCTAGCATGTATACTAGTGATGTTTCGGAACCCTACGAAACACTGAAACGATCAGTCACGTGTTGCGGTAATTAATTCTTTTGGTCGATGATCCAAGGCTAAAGTTTATAGTCAACTGACAAGTAATTTGTTTTGAGTGTGAATATATTTAGGGTGTCCTCGCAAATTCTCTGTAATGCAAGCGACAAAAGCAAAAGTATGTCAAATGCAAATTATTCGCTAGGTAATTTAAAAACTTTCATCATGTCACTTCTAGTTCCTTTTTGTGAAAATGGAATCAGGTTCAGTTTAGCCAGTCGATCTCCGTATGAGAGCCTTTCTATTCGAGGTAACTACTATGTTGCGGTTCTTTGAATATTTTCTAACAGCTCATTGTCTTTTTTAGACAAAAGCTAGCCGTTTAGATGCAGTTCTTTATCATCGACATTATTGTGGGGTAACTGTGCCCTAGCAAAATCATCCGCAATCAAGCCACTGAATATCGAACGGTTAACCGATACTCTTCAAAATCAAGGACAGCCAATTACTTAATTACTTACTTACGCCGCCGACCAGCACTCTCCAACCCACTCTGTCCTGGTCCTTCTTTTCTAGTTCCATCCAATTCTTGTTCATTTTTCTCATGTCTATTTCCATTTCTCGGCGTAATGTGTTCTTTGGTCTTCCTCTTTTCCTTTGGCCTTGAGGATTCCATGTGAGGGCTTGTCTTGTGACGCAGTCCGGTGCTTTCCTCAATGTGTGTCCTATCCACTTCCAGCGCTTCTTCCTGATTTCTTCCTCCGCTGGGATCTGGTTTGTTTTCTCCCACAGCACGTTGTTGCTAATAGTGTCCGGCCAACGGATCTGAAGTATTTCGCGTAGACAACTGTTAATAAACACCTGTATTTTCTGGATGATGGCTTTCGTAGTTCTCCAGGTTTCTGCCCCATACAGTAGAACTGTCATGACATTTATATTGAAAATCCTGACCTTGGTGTTGGTTGACAGTTGCTTTGAGTTCCAGATGTTCCTCAGTTGTAAATATGCTGCTCTTGCTTTGCTGATCCGCGCCTTCACATCTGCATCAGATCCACCCTGTTCATCAATGATGCTGCCCAAATATGTGAAGGTTTTTACATCTTCCAATACGCATCAGTTAATCGCACGTCATGAACTGACTCAAGCGGTGGTGGTCGTGCATTCTTCCTTGTACCTACTCTTACTGATAGTTCCGTAAGTCTTCGACATTTGATGCTGACTGAATTAGTTTCACTGGAAACACTCACAGATTACCGACGTATGTGATCTGTGTTGAATAATTTGGGGCCAACTCAAGTTAGGCGGGAATGTCGTGAACAACCAGCCAACTTTGAAGTCATGCTTCGCGGTCAGTACTCATTGTGCATACTCTTTCGACGTATCCAAATACTATAGCCGCTCTAGTGATCGTACGACGCAAACGACCTGTGATGCGTTTAGTGATGAGCCCGACGTGATCTGGCACACCTGATTGCAGACTGTGACTGGTCCTTTTTGGAACTTTATGTATCATTTCTTTACTTTGATGTTTATCTATTTTGATGTTGTTTGAATCGTCAATGTCCTAACTATGGATATATTGAGGTTTATTAGAGTTTTATGTTTTATGTAGTCTCATGAGTTCTAAAGTGTAGATAAACAGTGTATCTAAATACTACAGCATTTCTGAGAGTTTATATTGATCATTTTCTCTCAAAAGAATAGTTTTGTGTCATTTCAATTCGTAGCATATTTCAACAAATGTACTGGCGATATTAGTAGAGCCTCATTAATCTCCCGAAGAGCTGAAGTTGGCTAAGAACGAATTTGACTACATGATAGGCTTGGAAATCATCATCAGGCCTTTCGATCTCTACGCAAGTCTGCACATGATTTTCGGCTTAAGAAACGCTGTACAAACATTCCAGAGATTCATCGATGGAGTTTTGTAGGGTATCAACTTCGCAGATGTGCATGTTGATGACTGCTTGATTGTAAGTCCAGACGGAGAATCTCGTCTCCAGCACCTGGACCTTGTCTTCGAACGACTGCAAGAACACGACATTACTGTAAACATCCAGAAATGTGAAGCCAGCACCGACTCTCTAGATTTTCTCGGGCAAACCATTGATGCTCAAGGCATTCGACCTCTAAAGAGCAAAGTGGCAGCTATTCTGGACTACCCAGAGCCGACTACAATAAGGCAACTACGCACGTTCAACGGCCTAGTAAATTTCTGCAAGTGGTCCATACCGAAATGCGCGTCTTTTATGAGACATTTGACTGACCAACTTCGTGGAAATTCGAAATCCATCGATTTGGAAAATAACACGAAAAAGCGTTCTCTGCAGTTGAGGAACTTACCGCCAAATCAACATTGCTTGCATACCTATACACTGGAGCACCCATTAGTATCGCGGTAGACGCATCCGACTCGGCAATCGGAGGAGTCTTACAAAATAGGTAAGCCACAACCGATGACCTTTGCCATACTTCTCGAGACGGCTGCTAG